GCCAGTGGCGGGCTCACGTATGCGGCCCTCTTCAAGGGGGCCCGGCCTGGTCTCGCCACTGAATTCGGGACGGCGGGGATGAGGCTGCGTCGCGCCCAGACGGGAGCTCGAGTATTCGAGTTCCCTGGGGCTGAAGGCGCGGCGACGGCCGACAAATTCGCCGAGAAGCTGCGGGGAATTTTCGCCACCACGGACGGTGTGAAGATCGCCAGGCCCACCAAATGCGCAGAACTGCGCATCTCGGGCCTGGACGACTCCATCACGTCGGAGGATGTCCGCGATGCAGTCATGGAGAAGACTGGGTGCACCGCGGACACCATAAGAGTCGGCACCGTCCGTCCGGGCCCGGGAGGCCTCGGTGCGGTGTGGGTGAGCTGTCCCGTGGCGTCGGCCAAATTACTGGGCGACGCCGGAAGCATTCTCGTCGGCTTCGTAAATGCCAGAATCACGGTTCTGGCCGCGAGGCCGATGAGGTGCTTCAAGTGCCTAGCCGCGGGACACACTCGCACCAAGTGCAAGAGCTGTTTTGACTGCAGCGGATTATGCTTCCGCTGCGGTCAACCTGGGCACAAGGCGGCAGAGTGCTCTGCCGCCCCCCACTGCCCGGTGTGTGAGGCGGGCAAAAAGCCCGCCAATCACATGATGGGGCAGGGGGGCTGCAAGCCTCCCCGCGCTTCTCGGCAAACGCCGGGGGCTAGCCTGCCGACCCAGGCTACCCCCGACGTCAATATTGCGTCGACGCCGACGCCCATGGAGGAGGTTGTAGAGACGATCCAGTAATGGATCAAGTCTCCAACCTCCTGGTCCAGACGAATCTCAACCACTGTGCTGCGGCGCAGGATCTCTTCCTGCAAACCATGGCACAGTGGTCGATAGGTGTTGCCGTAGTCGCGGAGCCCTACTTTGTTCCTCCCCGTCCAAACTGGATGGGTGACCGGGACGGCTCCGTGGCAGTCGTCGGCTCCACGGCGGCTCATTCCCCGCCCTTGTCGCTAAGAGACAAGGGTAATGGATATGTTGCCGCCGATTGGGGGGGAATCACCATTTATGGTGTATATTTCTCCCCCAACCGGAGTTTGAACGACTTCGAGGTCTTCCTTAACAACTTGGAGGCCTCGATGCGGCGACTAGTGTCTGGGCACGTCCTCGTGCTGGGGGACTTCAACGCAAAGTCCATTGCGTGGGGTTCCCCTGCGACGGACGCCAGGGGCGAAGCCGTCGAGGAGTGGGCGGCGTCGGTGGGCCTCTGTTTGCTGAACAGAGGCTCCACCAACACGTGCGTGCGACAGCAGGGGGGGTCGATAGTGGACCTTTCGTTCGCTACCCCTGCAGTCGCCGCACGAGTAAGGAACTGGTGTGTCCTGGAAGAGGTCGAGACGCTCTCGGATCATTTGTACATCCGATTCGAGCTCTCCCGGTCCCAGGACCCTTGACCCTTCCCGCTTCCCGCGGTGGGCTGCCGCCAAGCTCGACAGGGACCTACTAGAGGAGGCGGCCATTATTCACTCATGGCTGTCTCCGCAGGCCCCGACCGAGGAGGTCGACATGGGGGCTGGTCGCTTCTGCCATGCGATTACGCAGATTTGCGATGCGGCCATGCCCCGCGTTCGTGGTTGTCGGCCTCCAAGGAAGGAGGTCTACTGGTGGTCCCAGGAGTTGGCGGACCTCCGTGCGGCCTGTGTACGTGCCCGGAGGTCCCTCACCCGTAGTCGGCGACGTCACCGCGGGGTCGGTGAGGAGGTGGACCGGCTTCATGAGGAGTACCGAGAAGCTCGGAAAACTCTGAGGCTGGCCATCTGCCGCGCCAAGGATGCGTGTAGAGAGGAGATGCTGGAGAGTCTCGAGCGTGACCCCTGGGGTCGCCCTTATCGTGCGGTGCGTCAAAAGCTCCGCACGTCGGGCCCCCCCCTTACGGAGACTCTCCAGCCCAGCTTCCTGCAGGAAGTGGTCGAGGGCCTATTCCCGCAGCGGGCGGAGCACACACCCCCGTCGATGGCTGCATCAGCCGGAGACGACGGGGGCAGCGAGGCTGAGGTTCCGCCCGTCAAGGAATCGGAGTTGGGGGCGGCTGTTCTACGGATTAGATCCAAGAACACTGCCCCCGGGCCGGACGGGGTTCCAGCCCGAGTGATGGCCCGAGCCCTCGACTACATGTCGGACCACCTCAGGGAAGTGTTGGACGCTAGCCTGGCGTCCGGACGCTTCCCTGAGCGCTGGAAGTGCGGGAAGCTGGTCCTGCTGAGGAAGCCGGGACGGCCTACCGATTCGGTCGCGGCCTATAGGCCTATCGTGTTGCTGGACGAGGCGGGTAAACTTTTCGAGAGGGTGCTCTCTGCCCGCATCGTCCGGCACCTCTGCGAGGTTGGCCCCGATCTGTCGGACGCCCAATTCGGTTTCCGAGAGGGGCGTTCGACGATCGATGCCGTGATGCGCCTTAGGGCCGTGACCGAGGAGGCCGTGAGCTGCGGCGGAGTGGTGTTGGCGGTGTCCTTGGACATCGCCAACGCCTTCAATAGTCTGCCATTCAGCTGCATCAGGGAAGCGCTCCGCTACCACGGAGTGCCGGAGTACCTGAGGCGGCTGGTGGCAGACTATCTTGAGGAGCGAACCGTCATGTACGAGGACCGAGATGGCGTCTTGAGACGCAGGGCCATGTCGTGCGGTGTTCCGCAGGGGTCTGTCCTAGGACCTCTCCTGTGGAACATCGGGTACGACTGGGCCCTACGAGGCGTCTCCCCCCCGGGCTGGGTGTAATCTGCTACGCGGATGACACCTTGCTCACGGCCCGGGGGGCTAACTTCCAGGAGGCGGCGCGCCTGGCCGCCACGGGAGTCTCCCTGGTGGTCGGGCGCATTGAGGCGTTGGGTTTGCGGGTGGCCCTGGATAAGACGGAGGCCCTATTATTTCATGGGCCCCGCCGTGGTCCGCCCGCCGGCGCCTCAATCGAGGTCGGCTCGGTCCTCGTACCGGTCCGGGCCCAGATGAGGTACCTGGGTCTGGTCCTAGACGGTAGGTGGCTCTTCGACGAGCACTTCCGACAGCTTGGTCCGAAGCTGGTGGACACTGCCTCCGCCCTAGGGCGACTTTTGCCCAATTTGGGCGGGGCCAGTGTTCCCACGAGGCGGCTGTACGCAGGGGTTGTCCGGTCCATGGCGCTGTATGGTGCACCGGTGTGGGTGGCGGCTCTGACCGCCCCGAATAGGGCGCGCCTCTGGCGCCCCCTATTCGGGGCGGATTCAGGATTCGGGGGTTCAGGATATTGGCGGTCAGAGCCATACGCGGATACCGCACGGTGTCCACCGAGGCGGCCTGTGCCTTGGCCGGAACGGAACTTGGAGGCGGAAGTGCTCGCCGAAGTTTATCGGCGAGTGGCTGACTTCCGGGCGGAGAGCGGATTTCGCCCTCCGCCCGAAGACGTGCGCGAGTGGCGCGAAGCCGCTCGCCGAGCCACCATGGTGAGATGGTCGTTCCGGCTGGAGACTCCACGCGCTGGCTTCGCCGCCGTGGAGGCTCTCCAGCCGGTCATCGCCGAGTGGGCAGGGCGGCAGCACGGGACCCTTTCCTTCCGGCTGACGCAGGTGCTTTCCGGGCACGGTTGCTTCGGAAAGTACCTGTACTCGGTCGCTAGGAGGGAATCGAGTCCCGCCTGCCACCACTGCGACTGCAGTGAGGATTCGGCCCAGCACACGCTGGCGGTTTGCCCCGCATGGGCGACGCAGCGCCGGGCCCTCACTGCAGTCATCGGAGCAGATCTCTCGCTACCGGCCGTAATTCGCTCCATGGCCGGTAGCGACAGTTGTTTTACCGCGGTCGCAACCTTCTGCGAGGAGGTAATCTCGCAGAAGGAGGCGGCGGAGAAGGCCCGGGAGGACGACCTCCACTCGGACCTGATCCGCCGCCGGCGAACCAGGCGGCGGAGGCGCGCTTACCTGCGCCTCATGCCGCCCTGAGTGTGGCCGCGGGTGGACGGGATGGGTTCTCCCCTCCACCCGCATTAGTTGGCCAGCCGCGAGGGGGCGGCGTCCGCGTGTGCCGGACGTCGCCTAAAGAGAGGAAAGATCAGAGACGGAGCCCGCACCAGGAGCGGGCCGGCGCTGGGAGGGATCCAGAAGGAGATAGCTACCTGGACCCCTCCTAAACTGGAAGCGCAAAGAGGGCACACCGTGTGGTTTTAGTCGGTTCGAGTCCGACACACCGCCCCGCCGAACGAGAGCCCCGGCGGGGTGACGGTCCGAGGGGATTTCCACACGTAAAAAAAAAAAAAAAAAAAAGGGTTTAACACGTTAAAAAAAAAAAAAAAAAGGTTTGTGTCAAGTTTTCCTACTCTCTGCAGTGCTGTTGTTCTGCGTAGTTTTCTCCCTTAATCGGCTCTTACGACACCCACGGGATAAATATTTATTTTCTAAAGTCACAATATTTTTTTTAATTAACCGATGTCATAGATAACCACTCATTTACCTACTAAAGTATTTACAAAAGTCACACACTCGCCTATAGTGAAAACAGTGGTTATATTTGGAGAAAAAATACATTTAACTCGAAAACATAGGTCAACATTCCTATAATATATAGACAGTTCTTCAACACGGTTTTAATTATTGCTGCGTTCTTATACTCAAATAAAATAAAAAATTACACAGGCAAATCAGCACATTTATTTGAATATATTCACTTTGAGTTACTCTGTACTAAATACCTGTTTAAACAGCTAGGAACCCGGTTAAAACTGTTATACATTCTGCCACTCAAGAGTCCGGTCAATTGACTAATTATACTTGGTTTGAGCACATATTATGAAAATACATATTATGAAAATTATGAAAATCAGAGATGCGTAACGTAGTCAATAATCAATAAGCGTGAAGCTGAAGGACTGTAATTGTATTGACAAACGTTGAGCCTTACTAGTATAAATGCGAACAACGGGGTTGCACTGCATTATAAGACTGCTAACACAGTGTAGATAACGTTTTCAGCATCCTCTACTGAACTTTCGAGTCATGTTCGGTTTATTAGCGGTAAGAACTTGAGATCAATACTTTTGAAGAGACATCTAGTAACATTTAAAACTAAAAAAGTGACGTACGCAATTATTACTATTCTTTTTTTTTACTTGTGTCAAATGCCACAAATAATAATTTCTCATTATTATTCGTGTAGTCAAATGTTTTGGTGATGTTCAAAATACAAATCTGAATATGACAATTGACTTTAAAAAAAGTATCATGCAAATTAATCTTAGGAAATTGTAAGCTGTATTCTTTTTTTACCCCACCCCGATTCAAATTATATAATTTTTTAATCTTCAAATTTGAATTGACCAATCTTAAGTAGGCATTCTTAATTTAAAAACGAGTAGAACGAGGCGAAGATTTTGTGTTAAACCTATGTACACAAAAAAGTTTCTAGTTGCATTGAGTATCTTTTTGAAATACGGTTACCGGTTTTGAAATTAAACATAATAACGGTTAACAAATAACATGCAATAAAAGAAAAAAAACAGCAACTTCGATATTTACAAGATAGTATTTTTATGTTTTTATTTTGTCGTTTGCCCTCAAACGACAGAATCATCATTCTTCAATTTAAAGATTATTTGTAGTCCGGTCAATTTAGACCAAAAAAATGAGAGTGAAGTTACATAAAGTCCCAACAAGCTGAATTTCTGTGAAGTTGTTCAAAACATAATTATAAACAATGTCTAGAAGTTCCCCATCAATCCCCTGTAAGGAAAAAAATTAATTCAAGGTCAAAGGTCAAAAAAATGAGTTTTTCGCGATTTTCAGCAAAACGGTAAGTTTTATCATAAAAGCACCTCAGACAAAAATTGTAGATCATAAAATTATCTATAAAAAATGTATCAATACTTTTTTTCTTACGAGCCACCGTTTCTGAGATATAACGATTCAAAAAGTTATAAAAGTTGTTATCGTCATAATATGCACACGTTTCCACGCCACCTATGAGGTAGTGTACTTAGCGCGTTTTTTTTAACGTGGTTTCCCAAGTAGGCCTACTCTACGGGTCAGTTGTGATCCTGTTTAATGTAAAACTATTGCAAAATAACGGCAATTTTCAAAGATTGGGAAAGATAAAAGCGATGTAAATGAAAAAAAAGTGTTGAAGTTTATTCGTCTTATTCGTAAGTTTCAAATTCTTGTTCTTCTTCTTGTTCTTCTTCTCCTGCTTCTTCTTCATCTTCATTTTGGATGCAAGTAAATTGCGTCAATAGCGATGTATCGCATGATACTTCGTCGGAGTCAAACGAATCCTCCATTGTTTGTGATTCAATATTAGAGCACGACCGGCCTTGACAATTTGTGCATGCCAAAGAACAAGACAGTCCGAATGTCTAAATTGACCGGACTATTGGTAACTTTTATGATTTGTTAAGTTTAAATTTAACACTGTTTGTATGTAACGCTAACATGTTGGTAACAATTCAGATTGCTAATATACCTGGGTTTAGGTAGTACTCCTTGCAACGCGTCAGCGCTCACCTGCAGTGTCTGCTGTGATACCCCCTCTACCTAACCATATTTGATAGGCTCGCCTAGCAATGCCGCTTTGGATATTCGTTCAAGAAAAAAGCTTACTGAAGTTCTAGGCAATCCAAGGTCTTTAAGGTATAATAAATAATAAGGTTATAGAGGGATTTAGCTGGTATACCCTCGCACTCACTTCCACGGCATACAACGCAACGACATAACCATTTTTAGTTCTTTCGTTGGTTAAGTCAAAGTACTTGTTACTTTTTAAAGCGTGGTCTTTAGGGATATTCGTTTTCCACGACATCGTGAGTTCTACTTGTACTAAACGCTTAATTGAAATTGCATAAAGAAATATGTCTGGTCTGAACGCTGAGGCACAGATATCCTCCGGTATTCTGTAATGATTTTCATACCACTAGTCCACTAATAATGTCCAGTCACTGGCAATACTTATAATTGAGTACGGCTTTTGTGAAGTCTTTTTTGTTGAGCCTTCCTTTACAAACGCGATGTTGGGTCTTATGTTTGTTGTTATTCCTTTTTTCGCTCTCGCCAACGATAAACTTATAGCTTCGCGTATGATTTGTAATAACCCTATCATGCGTCACTCACGTCATCACCCTATCAAGTTAACCATTCATTCTGCATTTCTAGGTTCATTACGTGCACCTTGTAGGTCTTGTTTTCATGTTGTTGTGGGAAAGATTTTGTTATCTCTTTGTCGGTCTGTCTTCTAGCATTTCCCACCATGAATATCTTGAGGAATTGGAGCCGTGACTAGAGCTCTGATGATTTTTGTCTTTTGGAAGGGATCTATGACAAGACATTTGGTAGCTCTTAGGTGTTTGTAGAGTGCCGAAAGTTTTCTTAATTTCATTCCAAAGTTATTCGAGACGAATTCTATGTCTAAGTGACTTTAGCGTCCAGTGTTCTTAAGTGCTTCTCGTTTATATCGTATACCAGAAACGGCCAGTTGAGTCGTATATTAATGAAACGCTTTCCCCACCATTAGTAATTCCGGGGTCATATGACATATATCTAATACCTCGCCGGCCCAGAAAAGGCAATAGCATTTGCTAGGTTTGGTTAATATAATATCTAGATTAGGTCCGTAATTGATGTTTAATTAATTAATTTCAGATTGCCTGCTTGATTAGCGTAGTAGCTGGAGCACCGTCTGGCTTTGGTGGGCTACAACTTGCTGCGGTCTCTTCTCATGACACCGTCGTAAGATTTATAATATATAATCGTGAATTTGCGCATACCCATTTGCGAATACCTTGAAGAAAATTTGCATGTTGAACAAAGTAACATCATTCATAATGGGTTCCATAAAGTTTTAATAAAAACTTTATTGAACCGTTTCGTCCAAAAAACATTTAATTCACCAAATAGTGTCCAAAATTATCTGCCTTCATATTAATTAATTTATTAAAAAAGGTTTTCTAATCTTTATAATAGAAAAGCTTTATTCTACAAAGATTACAAATCGAGATATACAGAAAGAGTATGAATCGCTTTTGGTAAAAGTAGTAGTATGTGGATTACTTAGAAAATTCGTGCACCAAATTTTTCTACTATTGGTTTGCTCTAATTTAAATGTACATTTTTACAGTCAATTCCACGCTACGGCTTCAACTATGCAGTGAATGACCCCCTGACTGGCGACAGTAAAGCTCAAAGTGAGTCTCGTGATGGTGACGTCGTGAAAGGCTCCTACTCGCTGAGGGAGCCTGATGGCACTCTTAGAGTAGTGGACTATACCGCTGACTCTGTCTCGGGATTCAACGCTGTCGTCAAACGCATAGGACCTGCTACTCACCCGCAGACTATAGTCGCAGCTCCCATTGTGGCTAAACACATCGTAGCACCTATTGCAGAACCTATTGTTGTAGCTCCTATAGCTAAAAGTATCAGCGTCGGTGGGCTTGGGTTAGCAAAGCCTGGACTCGACGTCGGCTACGACGCTATTGGCTATGGGCATCTTGGCAATGCGCATCTTGGCAACGCGCATTTTGACTACGCGCACCTTGACAACGCGCTTCTTAGCAAAGCGTATCTAGGACACGCGCATCATAACTATGCTGACTTAGGCCACGCGCATCTCGGCTTAGCTGAACTAGGCTACGCCGGTCTCGATCATGGGCTTGATCTTGGTTACGGAATCGGTGGCCTAGGAGGGTGGAAGCACTAATGGTACCGATATTGGTGCCAGGACTTTCCATGGGCGTTATCGCTGCCTTACTTCATGTTTCGTCTGCATTTTAGTTTACAGTTCATAGACGATACGGATAGTATAGGTTGATACCTGTGTATTTATGAAATAAATTATGAGATACAACAAGATTTTCGTTTTATTTTGTTTTCTGATTATAATATTTTCGCAGATACTTATTCAGGTTTTGTCGTTTTACTGAACACACTACTATACAATTTTACCTTTAATGTATATTATTTTGAGTATTGTGATTAAGCATAGAATAGATAAATAGTATTTAAACACAGAAGCTTCAGTAATAAGTAAACAAATAGCAACTTACGTAATGCCTAGGATGAATGCAATTGGATGCATTGAATGCAGTTATTTACACATTACTTCTTAAAAAAAATATTATCAACACGATTAAGTCATGATTCTAAATTTTTGGAATATTGAATTCCAAAAATTTAGAATCATGACTTATAGGGCAATTATACAAAGTCATTAGATGTATATAATTTTATTAAATCATTACAATATATCCCAATACATCAAACACAAGACACTGAAAAGGCAATTAAACCACTATTAAGATATGAAATAAAACAACAAAATACATTTAGCTACACAATTATATTTAATAAATACCATCGACATATTTATTCGTCATATTTAAATGCACGTATATTTGAGCGGTTACAACAACTCGAACAGTCGGGCGCGACATATCGAGTCACGTAACAGTACTTCGTTATTTTAGATATTTACACGAAATAACACAATTACCTATATTAACAATAAAAAATCGTGACGTATGCATATTTTTCTCTATATATTTTGGGTTACGTGACTCTATGGACGCCCGTCTCGCCGAATAGGAATAGACAGAGGCGGTCCACTAAATACGCGAACATCATGTCTGCTATCAAAACTTGTACTAATATCAGCCGATACTGAAACAATACAAAACAAATAATTCATTTAATTGGAAATACGAAACAATAATAATTATTTTTTAAAGTACAACTCCCGCACTAGGAATAAATTCTGTGTCGTGGGGGACTTTACACACATACATGAAACGGACACAAAGAACACACAGACTCAGAACGACAATTTGTGGATCACACATTGTTATCCCATGTGGGATCGAACCATCAACACTCAGCGCAGTAGGAAGCGGCGAGGTGAATGCTTAAACCACTTTGCCATTTGTGCAGTCATTTTGCTTTCTTGTTTTTATCTTAGTATCTCATATACTTTACATTTACTAAACTTTTTCTTCAGATTGTATGTATGTTAGGTTGCAGTAATATTTCATTCATTACATTCATCACTAGCTTTCGCACGGAAATAAATAGGAACAAGAAATAGTATTTTTCTCATGAATCATTTTCTGGGTCCTTTTCTGAACGTACCGAACCCAAATACGACACATTTTAGGTTAGATTTAGATGCTGTTAGCTACTGTAAGATTGTTGTTTTTATTTTGAATTCATTATATTAATAAAAATTATTCATTATATTTTAGAAACAGTCACACACACACACACACACACATACACGCACACACACACACATACACGCACACACACACACATTCACATGGCATCGATATTTCACATGGCACAGTCTTAACCGATCAAAAGTATTTTTATTAGGCATTAGGAATAGTAGTAATACCATCTACTGTAATTGAATCATTTGGGTTAAGTTAGGTTAGTGACTATTAAGAGTTCTGTAACAAAATATATTTATTGAGGATTATATATTTTCGCTAAGAACAAAAAACAATCAGAAGGGCCATAGAACAGAGGCTCGTCTGCAGTGTTATTTTTTCTTCTGAATTAAATAAATTAATAAATACTCACGTCTGGTGGGAAATATACGATTTCAAACATATTTGAGAGGTCTGGGAAAATTCCCGCGGCGAGCGCAAGCACAGCGCCGCCTGATACCAAAATACTGTACAGTAGAGGTTTGTTGTCCTTTAATCCTTCCATAAACGGTTCTCCCTGTAAAGGATAATATTATAAGTTATTATTTATTGTTATTAGCCGACTGCGCCAAAAATAACGTTATGTTTTTTGTGTGTAGTGTGATGTACTTCTTGCCACGATCTTGTAGCCAAAACGCCTTTATGGGTTTTGTCTTTTGAGGACACCTCCAGTATTATTATTTTTTTATAAAGACTACTCCCGTACTAAGAATATATCCTGTGTCGTGGAGGAGTCCAGATTCAGCCCAACGATTTTTTGTCTAATAATATTTCAGACATTTGACACACAACGTCATCTAGTTTCAAACTAAGCAGAGCTTACACTATGAAAGCTAGATTTATAGAATACTTATTCACTTTTTTTTTGTAAATACATACATATTATACATAGAAAACATCCAAACTTCGAAACAAATATTTGTAGATCATATACAAACATTTGGGCCGACCCGAGAATCGAACCAGAGACTTTAGCACAGCAGTCGCATACGTTACCACTGCACCATCGAGGCAGTTTAAGATTTGTTAATCACACTTAGTGTTTTTCCATGTGGGGATCGAACCCAGAACATTCAGGGCAATAGGAAACGGCGAGATGACTGCTTAAACCACTACATCAACCGTTAATTCAAATTCATTTTACACAGGTACATTAGATTTATAAACAAGCAAGTAAACAACAATATTCTTACCCTATAATTGATGGCGAATGTGGATATTTGCAGCGACATAGAGATGATATATACTGTGCTGTTGAGTAGGTCCGGTTGGAATTCCCGTTCCTCATCCTCAGCCAAGTCCATGTCCAGTTTTACCTTTGTATCCCTGGAAAACAATTCTCGTTTTTATCATATTTTTTTAGAATTTATGAGATAAATAGTTTGTTATTGTCTTGCAGTATTTTCTTCTGCTAATATTATTATTATTAATATCTAAAACTTACGAATCATAAGAGCGTTGCCGCCCTTTGAGTGGGAAGAGAAAAAGGAAAAAGAGAGGGGGATCTAGGACACCAGTTGTGACTAAATAGATAGATGACAATACAATAATGTTAAAATTACTTAACTAAAATAACACAAAAACAAAATTTTCGTAATCTTAAATCAGCAGCCTCAATTAATTCCAACACACCTTAATGCCTTCTACAGAATAAGATACATAAATAAATATAATCAAAAATGAGTTTGTAATTATTGGAACGAAGTTCCTTATTGCGCTTACACGATCTGAGCGGATGGGAGCGAGACCGAAAAATGTGTAACAAGACTTTTTTCCGACACTACGGTAAACGTCTACAAAAAAGCGAAAGGAACTTCGTTGCGACCGGGGGTCCATAGACCCTCAAGCCGTTTTTGTTTTGTTATTGTTATTAATCAAAGAACTGACAATGCGTTACCTGCCGGGTGAACGGGATGTGGCCTCATTCACTAAGTATATTAGACAGAGGAAATGCACCGCGAACTGTGTGAGCACCGTCATTATCGTGTAAACATTGAAAATGTTCGGTAGAGGGCGCTGCTTTGATAACTGTTTCAGTGGCTGGAAAGAAAAATTGAAGGTGACATCTCTGACTGCTTTCACTTTCTTTCTTGATTAATAAAAATAATATTTAAAAAAACATCACAGCAACTTTATTTTTACTTTAAGTAAAAGAGAGAATACTTCTTATACACGTAAATCCACCGATTGTTTGATCAACATTGAACGCACTACAAATAGATAGACTCGGATCTCGAAGTTTTTCGACATCGTTGTCAAAAACCCACTTCGTTCGTGGGTTTTTGACGGGTGAAATTCCTTTAATTTCCAAACCCTTAAAAGTAATTATTGTATAGGTACATAACTGGCTGATTGAGAAAACTTATGACCCGTTTAAGATTTTTATTTTTTATTTTTGCATCTTAGTGATATTATCAATATTATTCAAAATGAACATATAAAACATGTAATAAATTGAATCTCGATAGAGGGCGTTGTTCTACTTGCATTGCGTTATTCTTTCGCTCAACCCAGTGTTATAAGATAAACAATATATATTATTAAATAAGCCATCCTTGGGAAACAATACAATATACTAGAACAAGTCACAAGTTGTAGTTTTATTCACTCGACTTAGTTACCAATACCAGTGTAAGTTATGTTGTTCAAGATTAGTTACCAACTCTTGGTATTTACAAATTAAACAAATGTGGGTAGAAAGAAAAATAAAAGAACCAACCTTCGATCTTGATATAAACAAAAAACATGAGGCAAGTAGTAAACTCTGTAACGTAGCTTGTGTATCACTAAACTTGATACCATCCAAATACAACACGGACTGAGAGTAGGCCAAGATTAAAGCGTTGAGGGCCAAAATCTTGAACATCTGCAGTGTGGTCACCAGTGTGCAGCGACCTTGCTTGATTATGTGGCAAACTGGGAACAAAGAATTGTTAATATGCGAATTTGATCCTTATAGCTTACTTATGTTAGAAAGGTTACCATATATTGCTATATTATTATGTAATTAATCGTAAATGTAAAAATATAAAAATGCAGAATCAATTCCTTTCAACTAATTGATCAGAAGGTATTTTCATGCCAAAAGAGTTGGTGAAATAAATATAAAATATTAAATGCCATAACCCATGCTGGCGCTGGCGAGAAAATATTGTAGATATGTACATAATGTAATCGATAAGTGTGACAAGGTTGTAAATTATATAATAGAAATATCGCAGTAAGTACTCAAGCTTCTAGCTTGAGTACTTACTGCGATATGTTAGCTCGTTAAACATGTGTGTCTCTAAGTCTAGAGTTTCTTTTAGCATATATAATAATATATACGCTGTAAATGTCTGAAATTATCTTAGGGTTTTAGAAATTTTTATTTCCTTTATTTTAATTTTAATTAGAAGAGATGAATATAAAGAAATAAGTGTATAAATTTTGGAATAGTTCAAAGTGACAATATCTACTCCAAAAATGCATTATGAAAGTAAACAAAAAAAAACATTGCAAAAACGAAAAGTCTAATAGAATAACTTACTGCAAAATATACTGGAAAGCCGACTGGTAAAGGGTGCAGCCACACTAGCGTCTCCCAACCTCACGAGTTGCGGCTGGTCCTCGTCTTCGAGTTCCTTGATGGCCTTGCGCAGGCGCGCCGCGGCCTCGGCGCGTGCGTCGGCGCGCGCGCCGTGCGGCCCGCGCCGCGTCGTCTCCTCCACGACGCGCTCTTCCCGCACTCTCTCCCGGGGACGCTCGGGTGCGTTCGCTAAAATCGCCACTCCCACCTAAAATACATCACAAAAAAAAAAATACAAATCTGGGTTCCTTTTATAACTCTTTCTAGTAAAAACATTATCAGTTACTTAGTGTTGCACGCACATGAAGAGCATGAAAATGTTGAATGAAAATTCGCAACAGATTTTCGAAAACATTTTCTAATACTTTCAGAAAGGCTAAGAACTAAGGAACTTGCATAGTACAACAAGGTGTAACGTTTTGTTTGATTATTATAAATGTAGGTACTTATACAATTAAACTCACATCAGCATGTTTCAATGCTCCAACGTCGTTGGTGCCATCACCACACATGAGTGTCACGTAACCAAGAGATTTCAGTGTAACTATCACAAATTCTTTCTGTTTTGGCGCAAATCTTGCGAACACTTTGATATGAGGCATCAACTCCAACATAAACTTGTGGTGATTCTCATTCAAGAAAGTCAAACCTTCACCTGTTATGCACAAATCGAATTTAGAAGTCAACTGTTTTGAAGTCCTAAAAGGATTTACGGGCAGGTTTACTTCCTCATCTATAGATTTCCATCCCCAAGTATTGCTACTTTCCGACAGAATAAGCACTTCCGATTTCTGAGTAAACTTCAATTCTTTGGCCACATGACACGCTGTCAACGGATTGTCACCGGTAATCATTACCACAGAATGAGAAGCATGAATGATTTCTGCTATAGCTTTCTTAGAATCATTTTTCAGAGGACACGAAATTATAACAAAACCAACAAAAGTAAGATCAGATTCAATATCCTCGCGGGACATGTCCCTTATTTCTTGAGAAGTTAATTTACCTAAATTCCTATAACCTAATGCCAGAACTCTTGCTCCTCGTCTCGATAATGTTAAATATACATGATCATAATGACTAGGAACTTCTTTGAGCATGCCTTTTACAGTTTCCGGTGCACCTTTTACGCTACTGATATAATGTGTTTCCATAAATCCTCGTTCATTGATCTGATAACCTGCTATTACCGACATTCTCTTGAGTGCACTTGAAAAGTGGTTTCTGTGAACTATTTTGAGGCCCGGCGATTTTCCTTTCTTTGGCACAACAGCATCTCCCTTGGTCAAATTCCATTCTGCAGCTTTTAAAGTAGCTTTCTCTAGAGGATCCCCCACAACACCATCGTCCAATTGAACAAGGGAATGGCAACACGCTAAGACTTGTATAGTTTCCATCGGAGCTTGCGACAGTGGAATGACTACTGCATCTGTGTGGTCACCTATACCGGCCACACCTTCTACGACTAAATTATCACTTGTTAATGTACCAGTCTTATCAAAACAACATATTTCTACCTTTCCAGCAAAGGGTATTCTGAATGGTTCTGTACAAAATACTGCTAACTTAGATAATGATAATAAGGATGTGTTCACTGCTAAAGACAACTCTATAGGCAATTCTGGAGGCACAACAGATGTCAATATGAGTGTACATTCTAGAAATAGCATGTATCTGTTCCTTTCGGGATCTTCGCAGCCCTTGACCCACACATAAGCGGCTGCTGCAATCGCAAAGATGAGTAAAAACAATATGAAACCAAATGTCTCAAGGTTATTAGCAGTTACTCTCTTCACACCAAACAGAATAGTTCTTAAAAGTTTTCCCTGTGATGTGTTAAAACCATTGCGAATGACATAACCAATACATCCATTATCAGGAGCCTTGAGGGATGATGAGGCACTCTTAGTGGGGGAGGAATGTTGAACTATTTTAGTACCACCAAATAATAAGTGCAGTTTACCATCACCTTCAGTGTCTAAGTTTAGTTTTAAATTCTTTTCGTTTTCTATGGCTTCTTTCATTTGTGGAACACTTTCACCTGTTAACATAGACTCGTCAACTATGCATGAACCTCTTAAAAGGACAATGTCACAAGGTACTAAATTTTCATGAAGAGATCTTGTGAGGGACACTACATCTCCTGGTAAGAGCTGATCACTCATTATTTGGCGCCACCTCCTGTTTCTATACACATTGATATTATAAGGTTTGTTGCCCATTTTTCTTATCTCTGCCATGTTTCTAAGTTGCTGTTGTACAAGGGTACACTCAAACATAACTAGCATAACAAGAGTAAATATGGAGTAATACCAATATTTATCTAAACACCACAGTGCTACACAGAAAACTTGAAATACGAAAAATGGTGCTGTTGCTCTCTCCTTGAATAATTCCATAAATTCTGGGACCACCTGAAAACAAAAAATTCGTAATAATTCACACAGATATGTATTGTGGGTGGGTAACCGAGTAGATTAACACATTGCAAAGTTAAGCCTATCCTAGCCAGGTCAGTCTATGGATGGGTGATTAGTCTTAATACATTGAGGCCTCTTCGTGTCTGACACGTGGGAGAGCACGTTAAGCCGTCGGTTCCGGTTGAACACGAGTATTTGTAGCAATCGTTACGGGTAGTTGATGTATCCGTATCGTAGTCGACTTAGAAGCCGCCCCCAACCTAGTTTGGAAAAATGACTCGGAGGAAGTCACATAGACCTGTATTTAAGTTCAATAAAGGTAGTTGAGGGCCTAAAAGTCCAACAACAGTCTTTCTACAAAATCATATTACCTAGTATTTGGAATGTGAGAGATATGATGGCAGTCGCCCCGCGTAAAAAAATTGAAGTTCAGCCGTATCGTAGTCGACTTAGTAGCCGACCCCAACCTAGTTTGGGAAAATGACTCTGAGGAAGTCACAAAGACCTGTATATAAGTTCAATAAAGGTAAGGTTTACTTTCATTTTAAGTAAATCACAATAAATATTGCTGAAATCTGAATTCTCGAAAAAAGGTATCTCAAAGTAAACAGTAGCTGATCCTAATCTGATTTCAGCTCTTGGAAACCACTGTTTAGGATTGATGAATGGCCGATTAATAATAAGCTAAAGGGCCCCATACACGGTAAGATTTATCTGTACGATCCGTCGCGTCAAACCGATCGAAACGACGAATCGATGGTGTATGTCGAAATCGTTAACGATTTACTTAATCGAAGACGATGTCGGAAATCGCAACAAAAACCCATGCAATCGTGAATATCGTAACGATGAATCGACAGTGTATGGCTCTTTACGATCAACGATTCTAGTTTCAATAATTTTAGGTACGTGGGTTCCGTCATTCTCACATAATTGTGCCAATCTTCTGGATGGAACCTGGATTTTGCTTTAATAGCCATTTCTTAACCCACATTCTTCTAGGCTTTCTTTTTTTCTTTTGAATCCGAATCAACGCTACCGGCGCATAGGTAAGGAAAAGAAGGTCATTTTCCATTTTATGGGGCACGTATTTAATTATTTGAACACGTCTTTATCCTTCAACTTCAAACAAGTAAATGATCGATCGTTACGACCAGTCGTTTCGTGTATGAGCGACATTTTTGATGCGATCAATCGTCACGATTTTCATCAGATCGATCGTATAGACGAATCGTACCGTATATGGGGCCCTTAAGTATTAATAATTTTGTATAAATGTAGGCAAGCATATGTATTTTATATATATATGCTTGGCTACATTTGAACATTAGGCTAAAATCCTATATTCCTGTTTGACAACCTTTATTTGTAAATAAATTGTTTGATCAAAGTAAAAGATGATCTACAATTAAAGTACTACTAGAAATACAGGAATCCCCCCTATAACACGGTACTCAGTATTCCTATAATGCATTTTCATATTACGCGATTTCAATCCCTCGTATAGCACGGGTATTCCCTCATATAACGCGGGGATTGCCTACATTACATTTCTGTACTGTGAAATTTATAATGATTTGTAGGGTTCATAATTAGTTTATAATTGGATTTAAACCCCCTTTAACGAGAAAAGTAAAACGTGAATCATTTGTACAAGGGCGTTACACAAGAATACTCCTACAACGCGTTTTCTTATAACGCGGAACAAATCTACCGTGTTAGAGGGGAGATTACTAATTAGATTGCTGGTGGAAATTATTAAGTCAGTAGCTCAGGTGTGCAAAATTATACATTATTGCTTAGTTTATAAAGTCACTAATTGTATAAATGTCCTTGATTCTCTTATGTGTACTACAACATATATTAGTATGTGTAAAATATTTATTTCATTTTACAATGTGTCTTTTTATAATCATATGTTTATGCTAACAATTAACAATAGAAATAAATATTGATGAGGTAGAAAATTTTCTGTTTTTATTTACTACTCACACTGTTTTTGTTCAGTTATACTAGTATACATTACAAGCTAATGTTGAGAAAGTTAATGCTAGAATCAACTAGTTAAATGTTAGAATTATATTTATACAAATAAATTAAAATTATTATATGAGTGCTGATATAAATTAGTAACTTAAGTAAATCTTCCACCGATCCTTTTTCCCAAACCAGGTTAGAGTCGGCTATAAGTCTAACACAATAGGGCTGAACTTCGATTTTTTAAGTGGAGCAACTGCCATCAGAGCTTCACAATACAAGTACTAGGCATTATCGAAGTTCTGTAAAAGGCTGTTGTTAGACTTTTGAGGGCTCCAACTACATATTACGATTGCCACAGATGTTAGTAGATACGAAGGGGTCTCAATGTGTTAAGAATTGGTCACCCGTCTATAAACTGACCTTGCTAGGATTGCTTAACTTTGCAATGTGTTCACCTACTCGGTTATCACTTAGCCACAAGCCCAACAATAACTTATGTGAATTCTGTGCAAATGACCGTTATCATTATAACTACAATGAAATATGAGGTAACCAAAGTAAATACTAACTATTAAATAATTAAAAGCAAATGCCAGTTTGTGTATTATAACTTCATATAATAATGTCTTCACAACATTACATATTGGAAATTTCAGAAAATGTAGGCAGAATCTTTATTCTAAATTCATATGTAACATATTACAGATATATAAACGAGTCACAAAATAAATCGTCATGCTCATCAAAAAGTTATTTATCCCAGGTAGGAAGCAAATCCACAATCTGTTCCACATCAATTGTACAACTTTACCTTCTTGAGTTTGATAACTATTACTTAAATTATGGTATTTAAGCCTAACCACTGTATTATCATTTTATTAGTTAAAGTGCTCCACAGTAACCTTTATCTACATTAAAATAGGACCGTAATATAATAATATAGATAAAAAATACTGAATGCAGATACTGAACACAAAATTAGACAGTTCTGTCAGTTTAGTGGTTAATGAAACTGACTACTGTCATGAGTTGTGGGTTTAATTCACACCCAAGACAAATACTTGTACAATGAGCACTATAATTCATTCTGAATAGATCCTAAGCCAAACCAGCTAATTTCTAACCAAAATGTGTATCACTTGAACAATATCAATTTTTCTGTTATTTAAAAAAAAAGTTATTAGAAAAAGTATTATCAGAAGAATATTATAAGTGAATTACCATTATCATTTCATTCTTCCCAAACTCTTTTTCTGCAAGATCAATGGCATCATCATCAGTATATCCTTTAGAGTCCATATACTCTTCATAGGTCTTGTGAGTAGGAAACTCAATAGTGCGGAATGTTTTCTTATCCCAATCATAGAGATATTTACTCTTTTGAAATATGAACCACACATCTGGTTGTATACTGCCTTTTTTGGTTGACTGGAAAGCAAAGACATTTTAATACACTCAAAATCAAAAGCAATTTATAAAATTGATTAATATAAAGATAAAACATACCCTTGTATGATGTAGTTTGACAATTTCAGAGAATCCATTATTTAATGTCGGTACGACTTTAACTATTTCTGCTTGAATTGGATCCTTAACCTAAAAGAAAAACAAGGATTTTCCTGCTTAATGAATTGACAAGGCAAAGTTATACGCACGAATAATTAGAGCCAAAGTGGTTCGTTTTCTTACCGAAGAACATGAGAGAAAACACTGAATATGTACGCTCCAGTAGCAACAGAGACAAATAAGAATTTGTACAAAAGCTACGACTGCGACTGACACAAAACCTGCTTCGAAATTTTCCTCAAAGCCGTACACAGCAATCCATGAATAAAACACAGCTGGATAAATTAACAAAAATGGTAGCACAGTCCCTTGAAGAACAGTTGGCAAGGGTTTAAAAAGCTGTGTATATTGGACTAAGTCGTCTAATGATGACTGCATCTTGTTAGATACCATTCTATAAATTTATATCACTTTATGTCTGTAGCACTTATCATTGATTGGCTTTGCTAACTTGTATTATATAGTCATACATAATTTAACACTCCCTCGAAAGATACCAATTTAAATTATAACTCTAATTCGATTTTACTGAGTTTACTCAAGTTGACAGATTGACAATCAAAGGTGGAGAGAGGGGTAAAGAGGAAAACCGGATACAGTGTGCCGAACAGGAGCATGCGTGTCACGTGTTTTTCATTTCATGCAGTCGTTATTATTTTAATTTTATTGACTTATATTACATTTTTTAAGTGGATTAAACAACCGTTTTCTTTCTTCTCTTTTGATAATTTCAAGAAGTCAATAGTTTACAAATACTTCTGAAAATGACAAAGGTAGTATACTATTGACTAGGTTGAATGAAGCGCAACACAAAAGAATGTAAAAAGTAAGAATTGCTTATGTTTAATTTAAGGTGGGTGTAAAACATTAAATTAAATAATTATAAACAGAATCAGAAATACGTTTCAAATTCTAATTAAGCAACTTATAAGAGAGACATGATCATAGCTTCGAAGTACAGTAAAGTGATTTACCATAATAGCATACCCAAAGTAAGTAGTTTGCTCCCTTTGTAGAATCTTATGATAACCACGGAATAAATATGGGTGGATAAACACCGTATTCTTCATCTGTCACCACACGGATTCATAGTATAATAAGTTTTGAAAATACTTTATGAGATCTTTCTGTGTTGTTTTTTTAATTGCCAACTGAAAGAAATTACTAAATTACACATCTAATTATACCATAGAAATTTAGTAATTATTATTTATTGCGCCATTGCAATTATTTCTGTTTTTGAAATTTTTATTCTGGATGAGGTTTGTGCGGTTCTGGGACGAGCTACGCTTTGCATCTCTTTCTAAGTCCTTAATCTAAGGGCCAAAACTTTTCTGACAAGAAACACATCAAACTAATTGTCAGTTGTCAGTCAGTATTGTCCAAGATAGGGTTATAATCAACTGTTACTAAAGTCAATAAATGGCGCCAAAAGTTTATTTATAATATTGTACTCCGGCTTCATGATAGTCATAGTGAAATCCTGGTGGCTTCACATGATACAAAACCGTAATCAAAAGTGGAAGTAATATTTGTTTTTTATTTTATCACTTACTAGAACTAATACTATTGTAAGTAATTTTCGATATGGATTTGAATATACGAAGAAAATCTACAAAGACTCGAGTCACAGGGAGTCTTATTGAATCGTATCCTCATGATCTTCAGATGTATAAGCTTCCACCTTTGGAAAATATATCCCTTCAAGAATTTGAATCCTTAGCCTTAGAAAGAGTAACTTTATTGAGAAGTTTAGCAACCTCTACTACACTCAAAGGATTTCGAATATACTCAGAAGAATGGGTAGAATATATAATTGGAGAGTTAAGAAGTCAAGGTTTAAAATACTATGCTAAGCTGTGCGAAAAATCTGCATGCGGCACTACCGAAGCCGACCTGCAAGCAAGGCGTAAGGATCATATTGCTCATTTTATACTCAGGCTGGCATACTGCAGAACAGAAGAATTGCGACGATGGTTTATTGCAAGAGAATTGGAGTTGTTTAAAATGAGGTTTGCCACCATGAGAGGAGATGCGGTCGAATCATTTTTCAAAATTAACAATCTTTGCTACACCAATATTAGTGATGAAGAAAAAAGTGAAATTATGCATTTTTTAAGAGAGAGTACCCCATACCCAAACTTAGATAACATGAAATTCTACAAAGTGAAATTTTATGAGGTATTAGATTTAGTGAAGTCAAGAAGGGTGTATCTAAGTTGTGGTTTTGCCTATATTCCCCATAAGGATTTTATATCTGTACTGGCTGCTCAATACAGAACTCAATTAAAGCAGAGTTTAGCCATTGCATGTCATCATTTAGGTGAAATTGAGCAAGATGAGAGACTGGTTACATTATTGAAAGGATTACATCAGTCATATTCAGGTGCTGATTACAGTAGCGTGAAGGCAGTTGTACCTATTGAGAGCCTTGACTCACTCTCTGTTAAATCATTCCCGTTATGTATGAGACAACTCCATGAGCAATTGAGATTATCCCATCATTTAAAACATGGAGGAAGATTACAATATGGTTTGTTTTTAAAGGGAATTGGAGTAACACTTGAAGATTCTTTAAGATTCTGGAGAGAAGAATTTACAAGAATAATGGAGCTTGATAAGTTTGAGAAACAATATGCTTACAATGTGAGGTATAATTATGGTAAGGAGGGCAGTAAAAAGAACTACTCTCCGTTTAGTTGTCTGAAGATTATAAATACTACTGTTGGACCTGGAGACTGTCATGGATGTCCATACAGGCATTGCGACATTAGCAATCTAAAGAATAGACTTCAAGGATATGGATTTAATTCCCAAGGTTTGTATTAAATTAACTAGAAACTAGCTATTACCCACAGTTTCACGTATGTAATTATTACTTATTTTGTCTTTCTTACTTACCCCCTTAAAGAAGTAATTTACAACATAAAAAGCATCAGCAACCAAATTTTTAAGTTTGTAGCCTTAGCGGCTTAGACGCTGTATTGATAAATCAGTGAGTAAGTCTGAGCTAGTATTTTTATATTATAGAATATTTAATTGGGGAAAATCAAAGTGCAGGCCTATCATAGTAGACTTAAAGGCGACCTCAACCTAGTTTGGGAAACAGGCTCAGAAAAATAAAATAATTGGGTAATATAAGTATGTCATTTCTATGAGATAAAAGTGAACCTTAAGACCTAATTCTAATCATCGATTTTAGTATACTATGTAGACACTATACCGATTGAGTCCATTTATTTCTATATACTTACTAAATCTTGCATATTTTCATTACTAATTTATTAATTTATTACAGCAATTACAGAAATAATAGATATGACTAAAAAGGGTCACTTCCAAGTAGCTTGCAGTAAATACTTCGATGCTGTTCACCACACTGACTTGGGTATTGGCATCAATCATCCTAACCAATACTTTGAAGAAAGCCAGAAAATTGTAAAAGGAGAAGTGAAAGTTGAAGTGAAGAAAGAAGTTAAGAGTACTGCTGTAAAAATGGAAGTCATTGATCAGATTGAAGAAATGGATTTCGATGAAGTCATGTAATTCTTATTTAGGTCCATCATGCGTTCAATTCTTTTTCTGGTAAACTGATCTTCATATATAAAATATTGTTACTTCTTGAACATTTTTAAATTTGTCTCTGTCAATCTGTTGCTTGATTCAATTCCTTCTTCCTCTTAACTCTCATCCTTGTGCAACATATTTATAATATATTAGAAAAGCTTAAGTTCCAAACTTGAGATTTAAATTTGGAACTTTGACTTTTACCTGTTCTGAACTTGTTATGTGGACTTAATTTATTGAAATTAAACTACTGATATGGTTTATTTTACAGGTGTATTCTAGATTTATACACTTTTAAGTGACTATGGTAAGATTAAGATGAAGTAGTTTAATAACAATTTGTGTGTAAAAACACTGAAACATACATATGTAGGTAAAACCAAATAACAAATAAACGTAATATTTAAAGATTTTTATTTAATTTCATAAATTATAATATCTATTTTCGTTTAACATACATAGCTTTTCTGGCTAAATTACCACAATATAATCCACTTATAAAAATTATCCCTATAATTGAAATGCCTACAACTAAAAAGTACTTCTTAGATGGTGAAGAGGATATTTCGTTATACATATCGCCAAAATTCTCTATCACGTTTAACTGAAACAAAAACAAAATCTTGTAAATGAAGTAGGACTTGGAAGCTGGGATGTGTGTGTTTAATAAACAGAATAACTTCCACTAATTAACTTTATATTAAAGGAAAGATATGTTTAAAACAAGTATTTACACTTAAAACAAAGTTTGTTCAGCTTTTATTGTTTTAACCTTAAGGTGTTGAAGGCCAAATCCAAGAGCAGTAGTAACAGGCGAAGTAATCGCTTTGGGCTCTTTTGCTTTTAGCCCTATTTACCAACATTTACAATGATATTCCCTGATTAATCATAACCGAGATTAGGGTCCACATCTGCTCACAATAAAAACTTTCTGTCCTCTGCTGTCAACATATTAATTGTCTACTAAGAAGTTTGTATACTCACAGCTGCCACATGCTTATACATTTCTAATCTATTTGAAAGCGCTTTGTGGCACTTGGGCTCCAATTTCCTACTGCTATCATTGAGTATTATCTTTAGACACTTTAAACCTGAAAATATAAAGCATAAAATATATAATTAAACAAATACAGGATCTACTACTGTCTTGCACTAAATGAATTTGATAGGTATTTTTACGATTGACAAATTAGGATCGTCTCCCATTTTTGTAATTTGTGTTTTAAAATTAACTAACGGCAGTAAAATTAGTTGAATTTAACCCCGGTAGACTACTGCTTTATGTGTGGTCATATATTTTAACAAAGTCGTAGGTAAGCAACATAAATATCTAGTAACGTCGCCATCTATTAAAATGGCAATTTAACTTTAGTAAAAAAAATATGGTATGGTAAAAAATATTTTTTTTCAATAAATGTTCGACCTTCATTATTAGAAGAAGATTTTAATTATGTATGAAGTGGGTTGTAAACTTGTGATTATCTATTCATAAGATAATTGTCTGCCGTAATTGCAGCATAAGTTCCTATGTTCTAAAGTTCACTCAAAAAACTAATGAAATCAAATCAAATAGGATAAAATAGATATTGACTAATCGTATACTTCACATTCTCTGTATTTACAATTATGTTTTTTACATGGATGCAACAGTGATTTGACATAAATCGTTTTGCCAGATTGCCACTGTATTGGTGTGCGTTACCCCAGCAAAATAATGTCGAAAATGGTCATTTAAACGTTATAGATAATTAGTTGCTCCCCTTCTGTAATTGTTAGGCACATTTTTAAATTTGTTTCTCTTAAACTTTTTTAGTTATTTCAAAAAAACATTTCCTGCTGGGGTAACGTTTGAAACGTTACCGCAGCCAGACATTTTCTTTTTTAATTGTAATATTGAAATAAATTTTAGCTAGATAATTAGTTATCTGGACTAGGTAAATGTTACAACTTATTTGGTATTTGTATTTTCTTCGGCTGCGAAGTTATTCGAAATCCTGCTGGAGTAACGTTTGTGGGTTTGCTGGATCTCTGAAACGGGTAAGCGGATTGTAACCATCTTTTGTACATAACTTCTTAAGGATTAGTTTTAATTTGTTCGACAATAAAATAACAAAAATAATGGACCGTTTAAAAATTATTTAGGTAAGTATGAAAACACTTCAATACGTCCTAACACTTTAAATAAGACCTTTAAAGACTTACTTCAAACGTTTTTCTATTGCTTGTAACTACCTTCAAATGTATACGAATTTTCGTAAGAATATTGTAAGTGACTAAAAAGTTATGATGAAATGTAGCTCTCCACGTTCACGATCACAATGTGTGCGGCCTTTTTTGGCCACCGATAAACCTGTGTGTGGATATACAAACTGAATGTTATGCCAATAATTAGTTGTTTAGTTCAGTTGTCTACCTCTAAAATTTCAGCGTAGTACATATAATAATTTACGAGATAATTTAATAAAAGTCATTAGAAGGTGCAAGACCGTGGTAACCCGACCATGTTTAGGTGGTTACAAAAAAGCGATCACCCAGTACATTGTGCTGGCTTTTAAAATATGTAGGATATTATTTGCAAGTTTACTACGGATATGTACATAAGTGTTACAAAAAACTACATGTTTTTCAAATAATTTTTATTTAGAATTGTTTATTGCATAATTAGTAATCAGCCGGGAGATTAGGTATTGTTTTGAATGCTTTTGTTTTCTCGTAATGTTAAGGTGAATTGTTTATAGTTGTTCATAGAATTGGTACCTGCGTAGTATTTGTTAATTGGAGTTTAATTTTAGGGTAGGTATAGGTAATTTAAGTTTTGAAGAGTGTAACGTATGCGTTGTAAAGAGGTATTTTGTGAATAGATGGGGATTTTTTTAAGTGATGAATTGACTTAGGCTAGCATATCGCGAACAAACTCTGTATTGCATTATTTCTGTAATAACGTTGGAGAAAATAAAATATTTGATCACAAAATCGCGGTGAGTTAAATTATAATAAAATAAATTATTTATATAAAATTAGTAATAAGTGATATACCTACCTACAAGTTATGATCGTTTTTAATTGGTTCACCCTGAACAAAATTTCAATATTAGCATTAGTAATTAATAACCTAAGACAAGAATTGACAATTACTTAAATTGAATCGAATTAGCATTAATGCCCATTATTAGTAATTAGGTACACACATATTGAAGAACTCTCAAGAATACGATAAATATTTGCAAAAATAGAAAGCGGAAGCGCACACGTACTTTACAACACGTATATTATCTGCCTAAGGGTCAAGTTTAGTGCACTAGATGCAAATTGCAAACAATGAAGTATCCCTTCGCCCCTCCCCTCCCGCGTTCTAGCGAAGGATGTATTATCAGCGGTTCTTGATTGACAAATATTATCTGACCAATAATTTTATCTATAAAAATGTATCACTTTCACTCGATAAATTAAATTACCGTTATTATATCAAAATATCATTCAACAACTGTTCGTTTTTAACAGAAATCAACAGTCACGGGCTCAACGCTTAACGGTAGGTACATAGGTATAGATAATTCTCGGTTCTCGGTATAGACCACAGAACAATATTACCTACTCTTACGAGGTATACGACTGTTGGGCGATGCAATGTTGATGCATTCTAATTTACAACTGTATTCTTCTACTATTCGGTCTATTTTAACTTATTGTAGATGACTTGTTGCTTTGAATATTTTGATGCATTCAAGTCTAAGCTCTATACACCCCAAAATAAAATACAATTACTTTAGTGTTATTTCTTTACAAAAAAAAATCAAAGAAATGAAACGATTTCTTATTGGTTTAAATTTTCGATTTATTGCAGTCAGGTGAATCGTTCATACATGTATCTACATATTTATAATTTTAGCGGACCAGTGCAGATTTTCTGTTGATTGTAGCTCCGGTAGTAAAAAAGACTAAAGAAATTTTAAGTAAAGAAACTAGTGCTTAAGATCAATTAGGGAAAAAAACAAAATAAATAATAGGTAATAATTATGAATAAATATTGAATGTATTTAACACTGTACGCAACTGTACCGAAATCGTAAGGTGTATTACACTAAACATTATAAAAGACAGCCCAATGGACTGGGTGATCGCTTTTTTGTAACCACCTAAACATGGTCGGATTACCACGGACTTGCACCTTCTAATGACTTTTATTTAATTATCTCGTAAATTATTATATGTACGACGATGAAATTCTACAGGTAGACAACTGAACTAAACAACTAATTATTGGCATAACATTCAGTTTATATATTCACACACAGGTTTATCGGTGGCCAAAAAAGGCCGCACACATTGTGATCGTCAACGTGGAGAGCTACATTTCATCATAACTTTTTAGTCACTTATAGTATTCTTACGAAAATTCGTATACATTTGAAGGTAGTTACAAGCAATAGAATAACGTTTGAAGTAAGTCTTTAGAGGTCTTATTTAAAGTGTTAGGACGTATTGAAGTGTTTTCATACTTACCTAAATAATTTTTAAACGGTCCATTATTTTTGTTAGTTTATTGTCGAACAAATTAAAACTAATCCTTAAGAAGTTATGTACAAAAGATGGTTACAATCCGCTTACCCGTTTCAGAGATCCAGCAAACCCACAAACGTTACTCCAGCAGGATTTCGAATAACTTCGCAGCCGAAGAAAATACAAATACCAAATAAGTTGTAACATTTACCTAGTTCAGATAACTAATTATCTAGCTAAAATTTATTTCAATATTACAATTAAAAAAGAAAATGTCTGGCTGCGGTAACGTTTCAAACGTTACCCCAGCAGGAAATGTTTTTTTGAAATAACTAAAAAAGTTTAAGAGAAACAAATTTAAAAATGTGCCTAACAATTACAGAAGGGGAGCAACTAATTATCTATAACGTTTAAATGACCATTTTCGACATTATTTTGCTGGGGTAACGCACACACTGTATTGTGAATTTAATTCCAATTCGATAGAACAAATATATGTCTATCTAGCTTTGTCCGAACCTCCGCTCACGTGTATACCGGTTATCGCGGTAAAAAGTAGCATATGTCTTTCCTCAAAAATCAAAGTATCTAGATGCCAAATGTCATAAAAATCTGCTCAGCGGTTTAGCTGTCAAAAGAGTTACTTTGCCATTTATAATATTAGAAGGGATAAAAACCTTGGTGTACCTTGTGCTTTAATTAACAATACACTCGAACAATAGATGGAACTTACGTCTGCCAGCGCCATGTTCTAATTCCTTACAGTATTTCAATAAGTCAAAAGCACAAGCCCGTTCCAGTAGAGGGTCTGCTTCAATATCTACCTCTGTTTCTTCAATGATTTGTGCAACCTCCCGTGCACATTCCGCTGATACTATTTTATGATTCAAGAGAGCATTTTTTAGACATTCTTCAACCTGTAAAATTTAACGCATTTTATAATACTATAAAACTAGCGATTCTTTGAAATTGCACGAATTCTACGACAAATTACTTGTCTACTTTTCAGGGTGGCATCTTGACCTAAAAAGAAAGTATTAAGTGTTTTTTAGGGTTCCGTACCTCAAAGGGTAAAAAAGGAACCCTTATAAGATCACTTTCTTGTCCGTCTGTCACCACCGATTTTCTCAGTAACGGGTTGACCTAGCAATCTGGTATAAACTTGCTAGGTTTACCCGAGAACTAGCAAGTTGTAATTTATACCAGATACTGAGGTCTATGGTCCCTATTAGGTGTATAAAAATCAAGGTCCTGAGTCAACACGATAAAAAGATATGGGCAAATTTTCGCGAAAATCTGGGTAGGTACGGAACCCTCGGCACACGAGTTCGATTCGTACCTGACCGGTTTTTTTTTAAAATAAAAGCATTCGATATTTTTTACCTAAAAAGACAGGAGAGTATGTAACAATAATTTTAGTATTACTGATTATTAAAATAAAGCAAAACCTGAATTTCACCAAGAGATGATCTCTAGTTAATTTATGTACAGTATATGTTTACTAATATTTGTCATTGCTCCTTACCTGGCCATCAGCACTGGTGATATCATTTGATACTGCACAGATTGTTTGTATTTCTGCCTTACATAATTTACCAAGCAGAGGATCTAATCTAAAATTTAATGCTTGTTCTTTCAGTATGTTAGCCAATTCATTTTCACAAGCCGTTGATAATTTAGATTCTCTGAACTTTCCTTTCAAACAGTATAACATTTTACCTTGAAGTTCTGTATCTTGGGTTTCTTTAGCTAAAAAAGTAAAATACAATTAAAGGTTAAAAAAACAGAAAAAGAAAAATATAAAAACTAAATTGCATATTTACATTGGTGTCTATAGTTCTTATGAAAAGTGTTAATACCAATGATGTGTGAACAATATGTTGTAATGTCTCCTTTGCAAGCTATTTGCAAATTGCTATTAAATCTATAATCCATGTTTTGTTCTATCATTCTATTTACTATGACTACTTTGCAGTTGTCGTCAAAGATGGCTTCCTGGCGATGAGCCTAAAATAAAAAACTAAATGTTATTATTTCAAAATGGTTATTCTAATACCAACAGGAAGTGGGAAATGCCCTTACTGTATCACATCAATCCTTTGTTAAATTTTGTCTGTCTTAATACCTATTAAAACAGGAAATCCTCCTATAGCAACTGTTTTGTAAAACCAAATAACAATTTATGTGATCAAGATAGTGTTCAAATAATTATAACAATAAACAGTAATAATGGTATTGTATGCTATGGTAACCAGACCGCTGATAAACATACTTATATGTTTCTAAATATAAACATGTATTTTATAGACATAGACCCAGACAGAACAAATGATGATGAATAGTATTAATAAACAATGTAAAGTACCTTTAAACAATCGAGAATATTTGCAGCGTCAGTGTTGTGGCAATATAAATCAATCATATCATTACAACTGGTAATCAAATGATAGTCAATAGCATTGTCAGCAAACTCTTGCTTCCTAACTACAAATATAGCCTTCCGACAAGCATCTGATAATTGCCCCTTTGCTGTTTGAAGACATTCCAGTGCTGCTGATTCCCCATGGGGTACACTGGGGCAGTATATCTGCAGATCATTTTTACAAGCTTCTTTAAGTTCAGGGTCCAATTCTATATTTTCCTTTTGTTGGAAGAGCTGTTGCCTCAACTGCTGCCTGCAGTCTTTAAATATTGTGTGCTTCCTTTTCGATATTGTGTCGTTTCTTACTATTTCACTTAAGCATGTTACAACCTGACTCTTTGTTTGCGCTTTTGGACAAAATCTTACAACATAAGACTTGCAAGCATTCTTGAATTTCCTTGTAAACCTATAATTCTTTAATGATATAAGCTGTTCATGTTCGATAGCTGCTCTGCAGTTAGAATTTGTTTTAATTTCTGGATCATTCTTATGAGATATCAAGCAGTCCATGATATCATCCTCTTCCTTTTTGCTCTTAAGCTCTGAAGAGCAAAGCCTCTCAATAGGCACCCTGCAATTAATGTTTACTATGGCATTGAGTTCAATATGGCCACTCTGTGTTTCAGTAAAATTACTAACAATTTCTTTACATTTAGTTCCAAGTTCTTTTATTTTGCTTTGCAAACAAGATATTTCTTCTCCTTTACCAGTGTTCTCGAAGCATAGGTTAATCAGGTCATCCATACAATAGTCTTCAATCTCTGGTAACAAATCCACACTGATGGCTCTCTGTCTCATTACTCTTCTTACTTGTGCCTCACACCCGAGTTTCAATTTACCTCTGACGTCAGGATTATAAGCATAATTATACAAGCATGGTAATACCAGTGGGTCTTTATCAGATTGGTGCTCATTGAGGTCTGCCCATTGTAGCCTAGCTTTGCACAGTGTAACAGCATCATATTTGCAAGCCTTGTACAACTGTGGATCAAGCTTAAAATCTCTAGATATAAAATATTGAATTTGTAACAAAGCCGATTCACAATCATTATTCATTAAATTAGTACCAAGTTTTTCCATGAGACATGACATGACTCTGCCATTACCTCCAATGACCTCTCTACAAGCTCTATCAACAACAGGTTTGCAGGCTTTGCGTAGGATAGGGTCTACTCTCCAATCTTCTCCTGGGTCAGCCTCTTGAACTAAAATTTCTAGAGACATCTGACATGCCTTGCTGATTCTTTTATCTTTTCTTTTCCTTGGTCTGGCATGCTCCATTAAGCAATGTATTGTTTTACCACCAGCTTCAATACCCTTACACAGAACCGTAATATCATTGGCACAATTTTGCATCAACTCTGGTGAGAGTCTATAATCATCCATTAGCATTTTTCTATGATCAATCATTTCTACTGTGCATTCTGGTGATAATTTTGTGCTTTCATTACGACTGACATTTTCTAAGCATAATAAAATTTGTGCAAGTCTAACATCTTTGTCTTCTACTACTCCCTTACGGCATCTATATTTTCGTATGTCCTCTTTACAAGACTTCACTAATCCTTTACTCATTCTATAATTCATAATAATATTTCTTTGGTCATAAAACAGTTGATCTTGGCATTTTTTCCTCATGCCTGTAATAAAAAAAGAAGACAAATGAACTGTGAAATAATATTAAATGTATAATTTACAGCTAACTCTTATCAGAATATAAAGGCATATAAATACTAAGTTTATCAGTGGACTACATTTATGGTGTAGATAAAAGCTATTTTATAAAATATTGTTGCTAAAAAGGCAAAATGTATTAACAAACATCCTGTTCAATTTGAGTCATACAATAGTCATGCTGATATATTATTACCTACCATTTTCATACTTATGCCTCAACAGACATTTATACATCAACCAAGAGCCTGGCACTTCATCAGGGCAAAATATCTTCTGGTCCACATTACATGCTGCAAATATCAGTTTGTCTAGCTGCAGTGTATCATACTTCATTTCTTGTAGAACGGCAATTTCAGATTGACACTCAGGCTTCAAGTTTATATCTTGATTTTGTAAACATTTCAAAGTATTTGTTTGTGATAAACTTTTTGGATCAGGAGGAATTCTACCACATACATGAACTTCTGTATCATCATAACAGTTCTTCAAAAAATTACCAATAATCTGCCAATCATTGAAAATTAGAGATTCAATTTTATTAATCATTCTCCAACATGATTTATCCCTGACACTGGATTTTTTCTTTAGCACACAATCTATGCCATATTTACTTGGATTCAAACAGTTCAATATTTCAGGTTCCTCCTGACAGAGTTCTTTCAGTTTATTATTGAGATAGTCATTATCTAACAGTACAGCTTGATGAGTCCAAATCTTGTGTTGGCAGAGAGATAAGACTTGAGTCTTATTGTAAGATGCATTTAAAGCGCATGATAGAACAGCGAGATCATCGTTCAAATGTGAACACAGCTTATGATACAAAGCACAGCCAGATATGTCTAATGAAAATCTATCACTCGGTCGATTTACCAGTAATTCGTTGCCCAATACATGAGCATTTTGGAAATATACAACTAGATATGCAGCTAAAATTCTTACTGTTTTAGTCATTAGAATGTTACTATGCATTTCGGAACCGGCTCGTGGCCTTTATAACTATAACACAGTTTTTAAATCATGTTTTGAAAATAATCACTATTTCGTTTGATTTTCAAGTAAATATTACTTTAAAAAGTATATTTTAGCACTTAATCTCTTTTAACTTATTAACGTACGACTTTAAGTTAACATAAAATAAAATACAAACACAAGTCACAGACACAATAATAATAATAATTGATTTGTTTAGTAAAAGTATGTATGTACCAATTGAATGATTTCAGGAGTGAATGGAGTAATTCTTGTCATATCGACATTGTTACGCTTATAGAGATATAAGCATAGAGAGATCACTTTTTTTTTTCCGTGCGGAAATCCCCTCCGATACCACCTGTCGGTGGCATGTCGGACTCGAACCGACTAAAACCGCACGCCGTCTCGGGTACTAATAGCCGGGGAACCAGGTATACCCTAGAAAGGAAGTCCCTGGTGCATCATAGCGAGAACACTGGGAACAGCTACAATGAGAGAGATGGATGCCCGATAGTTCTTGTTTTGTTAAGCTGCGTTGTTGTGTTTGGCTAAGCTGCGACTAGCTATGGTGAAGTGGGCATGGTTTTGATTGTAGAACAGGCAGGAGATTACAAATTTCCCCAGTCAACCACAAAACTTGACTAGAAATCTATCTATTAATATTATCATCATCTATCTATTATCCATCTCTTCTTGCCTGCATTGCAAGATTGGGGCTCCTTTTCACTCTATGCTTATTTCTGTATGGTTATGCTACAGACACAGATTATAGGGGCCAATTCTCGTAGTATAAGTTCGGTCTCAATTCAGTTCCGATCAACTTTCAATCTCACACCTGTCATAAAAGGTATTTTTGTAGTAAAGTATTAAACATCCAACGTTGACTGTAATGTGGGTATTGTAACCGAATATTGAATCGGTAAACTGCTGGTCTCAGTAACACTTTACTATTTTACTACGAAAATACCTTTTACGACAGTTGTGAGATCGAAAGTTGTTCGGAACTGAAATGTTACAGAACTTTTATTACGAGAATTGCCCTTCTGGCATATTCTTAGATTACTTGTAGTATAAGTGATGTTACTTGTCTAATTTCAGAGTTTTTTTTACGTTAAGTTTTTGGTTTAACATCAACTCGATACGCATTCCTGAAATAATGGGTGTGATATCCCTTTCACACTTACCACATAGAAACGGACCTCTCCAAATTGGTAGGAACGGTAATGTTGCTTGATGTCGTCGCGGTTGCACTCGTAGTATTTGAATTTGTAGTTGAAGGTGTTAACTGATTCGTATTATTTTAAGTTTTCTTTCCGCCATCTCGTTCCACACGGCAAAATTTTCATCCTCATCACCTGGATAGTTGGTGCTCCACTACTGTACGCTTTTCGAGACACTTTTTGTCACACAACCAATCTATAGAACGGGTTATCGTGTGCGGTATTTCCGGACCGATACGACCTTCAAACCTTCAAGAAAAGAGCGTACTCCTTTCTAAAAAAGTCGGCAACGCGTTTGTGACATCTGAGTTGCAGAAGTTCATGGGCGGCGATGGTCACTTTCCATCAGGTGACTCGTCTGCTCGTCTGCCCCTTCTAACGCGTTTTTTTCACGTGTTTACATTTCATAGGTCACGATTGCGGTTCCTAGCTGCAATGGCCTAGCTATTGATTAGTGGAAACATAACCTTTGACAGAGAGACAGACGGACCACGACAACAATAAGAGGGTTGCTTTTTTTAAAACTATATTAAATTCTGTCTTACAAAAATACCAAAAACTCTTTCTCCTATATAATATCTGAAACATTGTTTCTGTTAGGTTTTAATTAAGGCTACAGTAGTCAAATAAGGTGGACCTAGCTATTAAGTTGAAGAAGAGATTTCAGATTTAATTATAATTTAATGATCATATGCTACTATCATAAACTTACATTTTATATTACATTTTTTTTGTTGGGACAACAAAACATGAGGACAGTTAACACCTAACAAAGTAATGCTAATCTACGACTCTACGTTGTGCTGCAGTATTTTTTGGACACAATGATTTTAGTCACAGATTAAGAGATATGTACAATTTTAGGTTCTGACATACCTAATCATTCAATTAATTCTCATTCGTTCTGAGAATGACAATTGGCAATAATTTAGCATAAACTAAAATATATTTATTACTGAGAGTGTTTGTCGAGTTTATCGAGTACATAGTATCATTTTAGAACTTGTGTTTACGTATAAATTGTAATCATGGAAGATTTTGTGGAAGTGAATCAGATATCCGATTTCATATCTTACCTGCGCAGTGTAAGTACTTTAATATTTAATTAATTTAATTGAATGGTCCCAAGCTGATTTAGTTTTGTTACAAAGGTATGTCAGTCAAGGTAACGATATTATAAATCATAGCAAGCAAATTATATTTTAACTTCAGAACGCATAGCTTATAACATTCTTACAATTTTGTGCCGGCTTTATGAGACAATGTGCGTAAATCATAATTTATCTACATAATATCTAATTCATATACATTTATACATACATAAATATACATAGATCATTCGTAACAGTGCTGCAAAGAAAACTGAGTATGTTGGTATATTTAGTCAACATTGCTTCCTAATTACAGTCGAAGATTAGGGTTGCAATCACGATGGTTATGTCGGACATAACCATCTCACCGGTGGGTGGTATCCGACGGGATTTCCGCACAAAAAAAAGGGTTGCAATAACGACATCTTATTTATACTTTAGGTAAATCTATGACTAGAACTAAGTCTATTATTTTTAAAGTTTTCCACCACTTACCACCAAACTAACCACCTTAAATTATGAGAACCTTAATATTGGCCTGTCACTCAGCAGTTATAGTCCCTATAGCATGAAAGTTTAATTATAGTAAATTTGAAATGAAAAATTAAGTCTTGAATAATAAGATATATTGTTGTTTGGGACCACTACAGGCAATACACAAGAAGATATTGTGTTATGTTTTTTTGTAGTCCCAATATGATTAATTGAAACTTCAATTGTATTTAAATTAAGCAAACTAAAGGTTAAACAGTGCCCCCTTATTTATACAGTAGGTTTAAATTTTGTAGACATGTTTGTAGAAAAGTTGGTGGAAATTTATTGAAATATTATTTCCAAATAGAAAACCATGTGGTTATAGTAAAATACAGTCAAAAGCAACACGTAAGTAAATATGCTTTGGATTTGAGACATGTAGCTCTAACTCTTAACGTGGGAGAATAATGTTTCTTCACAAATGGGCAGGCTCGATCGGAATGATAAGCTACACAGAAAACCAAATTTAAGCAATTCCTTTATTGTTTTTATGGAGTAAGTGAAGTTAAAGAAGCCCAAATTCTTAAAAATTCACTTGTGACTCTTAGATTGTAGGTGTCCAGTAGGCATAGGATAAAATCACAATCACATGTGATTAATCACATGATTTTAAAACCATTTTATCAAACCGGTGACTTATCTACGACATCACTACGATTAATTATTATTATTACACTAGCGCCAGACACGCGTAACGAAATCTAAGTTACTCCTTATATATACAGCAGTAGTAAAATACTATCAAAATTGGTCCAGGCGCTTAGGAGATTACCTGAACAAACAGACCTGTCTGTTCGTTTGCCTCCTATTCCTTAAAAAAAAAAGACAGACAAACAGGAAAAAAATAATCAAACTGGTTTTTAGGCATAGGTATCATGCAAATTATCGTGTGAGCACAAAAAAATGACATTATAAACAGACACTTCAATTTTATTTATTTGTAGAGATTTTTATTTTATTTGGGACAGTAAACAGTTGTATAGTAAGTTCAATATCGGTGGAAATAGATAACAGTAATTAATACACAACTAACTTAATTAACCACGTTTTACAAATTGAGTCTTAAATGCACCCATGCTTTTGCTGTGCAAGTCTTATTCTAAATTGGTATAATTTGAATACACTGGTACGCTTAAACTTAGCGGCAGACAATGCAATTGTAGGCATTTACCAGCTGGAATATAGGAGCGCGTCGCCCGGCGTTACTTCGACACGGTGTAGACACTAAGCAGTTAGCGGCTACCTGACTGGCACAATAACAGTATTTCCATTCTGGAATCATCTACCTTTTAATTTTTTATCATTAGATATCTTCTAATCACTGATGCTTTTAGCAATCTACATCACTTAAGTGGTAAAATAGCAAGAGAGTTTGTTTGTGTGAAAAACATTTCTTGTATTATTTAAAAAATATATATATATACTTTTATAAATCATAACATTAATTAATAACATTTTCATACTTTGAATTATTTTTACTACTCAATGTTACTAGTCAATATTAATTATGGACATGATTGATATACTACATAATATTGTAACAAACAAGGTGAAGATGACGAGTCATGAGTGGGCTAGTAACAAAGTTGCGTTTTGCACATAATATGTTATGGAGACAAGTTTAGTTTGTAGCGGACTACAAATAACACATTGGCTATTTGCTATAAGAATCCATGAAATCACTGTCATAATTTCTTAACAAACTAAGAGTATCACAAGATAAGAGCTAATAACAGCTAATCCAATATTGTTTTGTTCTTTACTATATATTTGTTAATCTCATTAAGTAGTTTGATCAAATCAGTTTTTCCTGATAAAATTTTGGTGGAATACTTAAGCTCATTAGTTACATTCGCTGTAAAAACACTGTGTTTTTGTTTATCTTCTTCCTTCTTAAAGAAGGATCTATATAAAAGCTAAATATGGAAGCGGATGAGGTCTGAAGGCGTCATTACTTTCAAAGATTAAATTAAATTTAAAAAATTACTAACTGTCTAAATTTGTAGTAAGTAATGACCAAATTTTCTTATGAAACACATGCCTCTTCTCTGCTCCCCTCTCTCTCTTCTGCCTGCAACTTTGCTCTCGTTTAAGTATTTTTATATTTTTCTGGAATAAGTACTTCTTTTAGATGTTAGATGTCTTTTTCTATATCCCTGGCAATGTTAAAGTCAGCTGTCAAACCAGACCTGCATCTTAGATATATGCTGCTTGCAAACTAAAAAAAGATTCTCTTTACATTTGCATTTTCAGAGAGGAAACATTATATATATTTATTTTTATTCCATGTACCTAATTAGTTAGCAATAATTATCTCTTCTGTCAGTAAGTTTGGACAACCATGGGTGATGGGGACCTTGTCTTGAATGAGTGATAGCTGGTTATGGTTTCGATGATGGCAGTACAAATATATGTGAAGGAGCAGATTCATTTTCTTTGAAATATCACTTCGCATGCATTGCGTTTAGCAACAACTAATATTGATGTTGATATTGATAAAACTGTAAATGATAAATTAATGAAAAAGTGCCTAATAAAATCTAAAATCAATGATATGGTTAATGGATAATAGTAACCTAATCGGTAACCATTTACCATTGAACATTATCCATATCATTCGCCAAAAACCAACGGATATGGACGCGAATAGAGAGCTTGTTTTTCTTTCAGATATCCGAAACTATGGATATTCGGCCGGCACATCACCAATAGGTCCACAGAATGTGACTTTATTTTTAGGTCATTCATAAAAAAAACATACATAAATTACTCGCCAAGCTACACAGCTTATTGGTGGTTGGTTTGGTTGGTATACAATCGTTAACAATTTTATATTATGCACGAATGACGTAATGGTTTAAGCGGTCAACTCGCCGCTTCCTACTGCGCTAAGTGTTATGGTTTCGATCCCCACATAGGACATCACTTTATGTTATTCACAATTTTTTATCCTGAGTTTGAGCGTTCTTTGTGTCCGTTTCATGTATGTTTTGTAAAGTCCGCCGCGTCTTATCAAAATAAAAAATAAAAAAATACTCATTACTCACATAAGCAATATCAGTTACTGAGTATTACTGAATCTGCTAGGTTACATATGTGTGAAGGTGCTTCGTCATGTATGGGTTGGCTCGAGGGGACCAACAGCTTCAGAGATGTGAAGTTACCGAAGGCCTAATCTCCCCGTCCCTTTAATGGATGAATATTTTTTTTAATAATTTTAACAGTAAGGACACTGTTAAAATTATTAAAAAAAATATAGCATCATTACAAAAACCCCGATACAAAAAACTTTAATAAAAACAAAAAAACTAAAATAACAACTGCTCATTGAGACTGTTCTAATAAGCCCAAACATGGTATATACATATATGCTGTAATTTTCTGAGGAGTTGGCTATCCCGCAGACTACTTGATGCAGCAGCAAGTTTCAGGTTACCATGTCGTAGAAATACCATCAAAGTAACAGTATACCAAAGTTCAGATCAATCGGACCTGCGAATTTTAGTGAGATCCATTCATCACCTTGGAAGTGAGCTGATGATCTTCTAGATTTATAGCTAAGAACCATGTCGATCACATCGACCTTTGAAAAATAAAATCCGCATCAAAATTGGTCCTTCCGTTCGGGAGCTATGAGTTCGGAGTCTGTGGCAACAGACAGACAGACAGACACGCAGATAGATACACAGATACGCAGATACACAGGTTATACTTATAACACCCCTCGTTTTCCGTCGGGGGTTAAACAGCAAGAAGATCTTTAGGCGATTATTGTCAAGTTTTCAAAACTTGTCTCAAGTGTTGCTTTTAAATTCAAAATATTTTGATATCTATTTTAAGTATGTTAGAACAATTTTAAAATAAACAGTTAATAATAATTTATAAAACGAAATTGTTTCGCGTTATCGGTCTCGATATAATGAGTATTATTTGATTTATATGGAACAAATGAACTAAGTAGATAAATATAAAAGTGCACTCTTATAAAATTACAGTAGATCTTTCTTTCTGGAATGTTCTAAATCTCTGTGATATTTTTATTGAAAATATTAATAATGAGTAATAACGTCACTACGGATAAATAAGTACTACTTAGAACGACTCAATGACCACTAAGATTGGACATGTGGTCGCCAAGTTTTGACCAAGTTAAGCAAAATTCGACAAAGTTTTGACCAAGTGAGGCCCAGAGGTCCGAGTGCAAGTTTATTTAGAGAGCAAGATTGGTGGAGATTTCAGTGCGGGCCAATCGTAGTGCCAAACGCGGTTACCGTGACGATCGAGTAGAAGTGAAATAACTCGCTCTTGGCTCTCAGTTTGGCCAATCCGATATGTCCTCCATCTTGTAATTTTATTGGCAGTTCAGTCTTGAAGACTAACTACTTAATCTTATTTTAAAATCCAGTGACTTACTTTAATTTTAGAAATATCTTCTCATGAACGATTTAATTCTATAAATCCATAAAAAACGGGGTTTAAGGAAAGAACTACTATGTAAATACGATGATATGATTGCACATCCGAATAAATTATCTACACAGAATTTTGTAGATGACTAAAAATACGAGATTTTATAACATTTTGTTGAGTTGACGTTCCTACTAGTTAGCCTCATTGAATCATGTGTTCGTATTCAGTGAAGGTCAACTAAAGTTGTTGTAGTAAATATTCATGCGCTGCCATTCATATTATAAATCTGAAGAGTTGAAGGCGATAATCTCAGGTACTTCTGGTTTCAATTGGAAAATTCTTTTAGTGTTTGATAGCCCATTTATCGAGGAAGGTTATGGGCTATATAACATCATGCTACGACCAATAGGAGCCAAGCGTCAATGAAAAGTGTCTCGGGGAAAATGTATTCCTTTTGAGAGACGCAGTCGGAGTTGCGCGGGACAAAATTAAAATGTCCTCAGGAAATCAAAGAACTATATTTATACCTAAAATTTAAAAACTAATACATAATCCGTATTAGTATGCGCAGATATACGTGTTTAACCATCCGATACATCGCTAATGCATACACAGACATTGCCATTAGCAATGCAGACTCATCCTATTTATTGAAGACTGTCTAACATAGACTCGGTCACTATAAAATGTTGTTAGTTAATTACTTAATATAGCTAACAATTATATCTTACAATGTTACGAGAACTGCGTTGCGACTAGCGAGACTTGGGTTTTTTGGTATTATGGTGTTGGGATTATTTTTTACTAGCTAGTACCCGCGTCTTCGTTCGCGTGGAATTTGAAAACCGTTGCCTTAGCGATACGCGACTGCAGTCCATGAGGCCTCGGGTTCGATATCGGAACCGGAATTTTTTTGTAGGGTTTTTCCTGAGAGGAAAAATATCCTTAGTTACGCCTTATATAGACAGCTGGTAATAAAATATTATTATTATCGGTCCAGCCGTTTAGAACAAATGTCTGTTTGTTGACAGACAGACAAAAATATTTATACTGGTTTTTAGGCATGGTAAGCATGAAACAAACCTATTATTTTGATATTACAAACAGACACTTCAATTTTATTTATTTGTGTACATTGAGTAGGTGTATTAAGAAAAAGATCGTTAGTTAATGACATGTATATTCAATATCTACCTACTTATTTCTCTTTAGGAAGAGTCACGACAAAATTTTAATTCCTTTAAAATAATTTAGAAAAGTTTACAAGGCACTATGTTTGTTCATTTTGTGTAAGGTTAATTCCCTTTATTTTAGATACACAGCATCTCATTCAAACGTACGCATAATACTTTTAAACGTATTATGGAAAAAATCTCGAATGTTCTTAGTGCTATTTTAGGCTTATCGTTTAGTTATAAACCAGCCAAACGTGAATTTGTTGTATCAAGTATTGCAATCTACCGAAAAATCTCGATTTAAAATAAATGTGGCACTCAATATAAATAAATGTATAGTTTTGAAAATCTGCTCTCGTATTGTGTAATGTTGTTATCACTCAATTTTGGTTTCCTTTTAATGTTTTCATGTTTAAGTATAAGTGTTTGTTAATTTGCTCAAAAAATAATTGTGGCCCCCATCAACCTTAGCTAAATTGCTATTCAAATGTCCAGAGTGTGTGAACGGAGCTGGCTAACATTTTCTTTCTGTGCGAAAAATAAATAGTAATTTTCAAAGATAACAGCATAAAAAAATGATTATTATTACGTAGTCTTGGATGCTCGGGGATTTTGCTATAGGTAACATAAGGCAATGGCATCGGCACCTATCGGTGGCATGTCGGACTCGAACCGACTAACCAGGTATACCCTAGAAAGGAAGTCCCTGGTGCCCCGACATACCTCGGGCCATCTACAATAAGTAGACGACCCCCCCCCCGTGTGGGTACCCCATGTTCATTCTGCTCCCTGGAAGGGAGCGCGCTTCGCAACGCGCTCGCCGCCACCGTCTCCTTCGCGAGCATATCTTGCTCGCAGAAGGAGACGGCAGAGTTCCACGCACTCTCGCTCCGCACGATAGCCGCAATCAGGCTATCGAGCGAGAGAACTCCCACTCCGATGGCCGCCACGAGGTCTCGCCTCTGCCCAACCCACGCCGGACACTGCCAGCGTGTAGAGAGCCGTGTCCACGGTCTGGCCACCGCAGTGGTGGCACTCAGGCGTTGGCTCCTTGTGGATCAGACACAGGTGATCCCGAAACTTCCTTTCCCAGTGATCACCTGCGACAGTCGGTATGAGAGGGTCCCGTGACGCCTCTCGAGCCAATCCTCCATAACGGGTCTTACCGCCGCGATGACGGCGTGCCCGAAAGGCCTTGACCCTGACCTTATTTTTGATTTGTGAATATATTTATGCACAGTTTTAAACTACATTTTATTTCGTGTAAAGCTGTACCAAGCAGTTTATTCGTTAAAGTTAAGTTAGTTTGAAACACTGTTACATAAACGGTGGCAACCAATTAACAGCAAAAATAATTTTGTATTATTTAAAACCCTTTGTATGAGATCTGTGTATGATATGCCTAAAATTACACTAAGTAATAATAATAATATATCTCACACACTCACACACGGCCGTCTGATCCCAAACTAGGCAGAGCCTGTACTATGGTAACCAGACCGCTGATAAACATACTTATATATTTCTAAATACATACATATTATAGATAAATTACACCCAGACACAGAACAAATGACCGTGCTCATCACACAATATTTGTCCTGGGTGGGAATCGAACCCACGACCTCCGGTTTAGCAGTCAGGGTCACTAACCACTAGACCAACAGGCCCGTTAAATAAAATATTAAATGAAATATTTGAATACCTAACCGAGGTTTTGCATTAAAAAAATAATGATATTACGTCACTCAATGAAAATGGGCCATGTTTGCTTGCCCAATCTTTATGATTTTTGCGAAAAACGCTTTGCAAATACATATTACGATCTGCGTTCGTAGCGCTTACTGAACAAAGGTATGCCAAAATGTGAGATGAGTAGCGATAACTATTCGCCGCGTTTAATCAGAAAATACAGGTCAATATTTTTATGGCTTGGTAGACCCAAACAGGGGTTCAGGGTTAACGTCTCAAAACGACACACAAAGCTGCCTATGTTTAATTCGACCCAATAATGTCTCGGAGGTCGGGAAAGCATTTTTTATTAAATCAATAACAATACTACATCTTCATTTACTAGTGGTCATCTTGATAAGAGTATTGGAGAGCCAAGCTCAACACTTCATGTAAGCGAACCTTGCCTTGCGTGTAATACCCAATTTTCTAGAGGTCATTTTACTACTTGTAATTATGCTAAGTAACTACAACAAAGTCCCTCCCCAGCGTTTGTCTATCTATCTGAACACGACACAATCATAAATTACTAAATAGATTTGTATTTAATTTGCAATAATGAACGGTATGAAGGTTCGGAGTTCCTGACAACAGCCAGTTTGAGTTACAGTTACGCGACCATGACTTACTCAAAGTATCGTTTGCACTCCATATTGTAAGAAATATCTCTTTGCTATTAGGCTTTATTATCAAAAGTCCTAGTTAATTATCTTATCTGCAATACTATAAATATAGATAGTATAGTGATATATTGTTTTTAATTGAGCAGAACGTGATATCTTTTTTTAAATATAACCTACTCTGTGTGGCTAAGTGGCAGGGCAATCACTTTAAGCATTGCGCCACGCGTGCAGGGGAAAAAAAACCTGCTAGGTACATTGTGTCACAGGCTTTTGTACTTAAGAAATATGTATCCAGTAAAGTTTTTATTGGGCTTAGACTACTCTCACAGAGAAGCTCATTTAAATCTTTGCCATTCGTATCATCGCTTTATGACATGGCGGCAATTTAGCCGGATTAAACTCATTCATGACGTACCACAATGTCCATAATCGTACATACAAGTAGATACAATAAGCTTGTAAACCACTACTTTCTCACTAAATTTGGAATTTGATCGGAAACACTGTATTTTGTAACATTACCTAAGTAACACATGAGGTAGGCCTTGAGAAATTAGCTCAGCTGTTAGCAACCAGCTAACTGCCAAGCAACAACGCCTCTCTATTATGAATTGTGCTTTAGCAAATTCGCAACTTACGTCTGATTTATAACATAGTTTTATTTTCTTCTTCTAGATTGAATGGCGTGATCCCTGGTTGATCGCTCTTATTTCCTTCCACATCATAATAACATTTACATGCTTCTCAACGAGAAACTATGGGAACTTTCAAGTTATCCTGTTCATTATATTATGTGAGTATACTTTGTTATTCAGTGTTTAAGTAATACATATATCTTAGAACTCTATATAATGATTTATTAACCTGGTCGAAACATCAAGTAATTCAAAGGTACGTAACACCTGACAAATACATAATACCTTTACCTAAATAAAATTATAAAACATAGCTAATGTTTTCTAATGTTATTTATGTAAAGGTAGGATATTATTATACATACATACGAGTACATACATATATTATCTTAGATCTCGTTGCTTAGAGCAAAATATTTGTCGCTTGCAATCTTTGAGTGCCATGTGGAGGTATTTTTTTAAACCAGTCATATCAATTACAAGAATATATAACATTTAATGGCAGTTACTAGTCGCTGTTTCTCACGGAGGTTATAAAGCAGGGTCAAATACAAAATCAAAAGAATAAATTATTATTCGTTTTAATTCAACTCCAAAATGGCGCTTAACTTACATTAAAACATACCTTCACCGCAGGTCGTTATCGATTCCCGCAGTTTTGCGTCAAATATTATAGATACGTAAGGTTACGGTATTGTAGTTGTGTCACCTTTAAGTACAAAATGAGAAGTTCAACAAACGTATAAGTCGTATGTTAACATGTTTATGATATATAATTATTGATAATGCTGCGGGTTACTCACAGTATTTTTATTAAACTATTATACGTACGGGTTACGACTTGAATTTACTAAATATTCAGAAAACAGTATTTATTATTAAAAATCAAATTACGCAACAAGATTGTTAAAGAATATTGTGTTAGTGTTAAAGAAGATTGTTAAGAAGAATAAAAAAAGATTTTCATATTTTTACCTGCTGACCCATCAAACGTTGTTCTGCCATATAAGTTATCAAAGAAATAAAAATGCAATAAAAAATGGGTGGTGGGGGTAGGAGGGTGAAAAATATTTAATGATCTATTCCCCAAACCCTACCAAAAATACAAAAAAAAAACAATAATTAAAATCGGTGCAGCCGTTTCAGAGGAGTGCGACTACAAACAACGCACGAGATATTAGATGTTCAAGTGTTTAGTTTTTTTAAGTTAGAAGGTGGTAAATATTATTCTTCACTTTTTCTTTCTGTTTCAGTGTTATTAGTGTACTTTTCTGAGAATATCAACGAAGTAGCAGCAAAAAATTGGGCCTTATTTTCAAGACAGCAATACTTCGATAGCAAGGGGCTGTTCATATCAGTGGTGTTCTCCATTCCTATATTACTCAATTGTATGATAATGGTGGTAAGTCTAAATGCATTAAAGAAAATATTACATGGATACAAAATTTTATTTTAAGCTCACGATTAAAAAATATATAGTGCTTTTATGATTATAAACAGTATGTGGTGACGTAAGATTGTATTTAAGTTATTAAGACTTTTTTCAGGCACAAATTGAGAGTAACATTTTTATATTACTTAGCAGATTAAATGAGTGTATAGTTTACATTAGGTATTCATTAATTATTTACAAACTAGCTTACCAATTAGTGTCTTGTTTTGTTATTGGTTTATTTTAACCATTCTTATTATGATATTAGTAAACACTGTGTCTAACACAGTTAATAAAGTAAAATAAGTAGTTTATTAGTTTTAATCTTTGTAATCTTATGTGTAAATATAATTATCAAATAATGTAATAATTTAAACAAACCGTGTACAGAGTATTTTATGTAGAGCGATGTCGTTATAAAATTTCCTTTCGGATGTCATGATAGCATCTGTAATTGCATTATTAATTAGGGCATTTGCCTATGATGCAATCAAGCGTAGATTCTAGTTAACAGACCAATTATTACAATGACGTTTCAAATCAGTATCACTTTTTGTCAGTGAATTGAAAATATTCCTGCATAACTCCATTGCTTCGTATGTTCCACATATACTCTTTTTCGGAAGAAACAAGATATTACTGGTCTTAAATCAGTTATTCGATAACGACCGTGTTTGTTGCGCTTAAAAGTAATCTGACATAAGTTTGATGTTTGTAAATTCAGCAATCTAATCAGTTCCGAATCAGATACCTCAGTACGAGTATATGAGCACCTATAAAGCCGTATAAAGCAGATCGATTGAATAATTGAATTGCCCAAAGCAAACTTGCTTCGCAAGCAAGTGTCTCAAGCAGTTATAATAATAACCTCACACACGGTCGTCTGATCCCAAACTAGGCAGAGCCTGTACTATGGTAATCAGACTGCTGATAAACTAAGATATCAGGCAAATTTTGTCAACAGTTTTAATTTCCCTACGTAGTGTAATCATTATTGCATTTTCTTACCCTATGTTCCAGGGCTCATGGCTGTACCAGTCCACACAAATCATGACGAACCTTAAGAAGGCGCAGTTGCGGCAGCGCTTGAAACAAATTAACATGACTCGTGAACAACAACGTCTAAAGACAGAGTAACCAATGTCAATTACTAGGTACGAAAAGAATCAATATTTTTGCTAGAATTGTGACAGAACGAGGAATCTAATGTTAGAATTATGACGCAGTGATTTATTTATAAATAGTTTTAGGACTATCGCCGTTAAGGAAGACACTGTATGGCTTTGTAAATATTTTCAAATTGTGTAATCGAAGTGTCTGAACATGCTAGGAAGTTTAACTGAAGTATAGAAAGCAGTCGAAAGCCTCTACAGAAATCGAAAGAGAGCGATAGATACAGTTCAAATGCGCTGATGTCTATGTCTGTGAATTCCATGCTTGAAACGAATTAAATTAATTATATACTTCAGTTGAAAAACTTTCTTAGTTTTTTTAATATAATTTATATTGTTTTGGATGTTCTACACATTTTACAGGCATAAGCTTGTTTCTAAATAAACGAATTATACTGCCCTGACGTTTATTCTTGCCGCTTTAGCAATTTTGTATGTGTTCTTGTTTCTATACCGGTACAATTAACAGACTATTAAATAGTAACTAGTTGTAACTTTATTAAGTCTGCATGCGCTTTCGAAATAAAGGTACTAATAATTTTGTTTTCAATTTGAGAACCTCTTTTTTGTTTGAAGTCGGTTAATAACATTACAGTGCCTTTGGAAATTTATCAGTTGTTCATTCGTTCATTCAGTGAGGGAGGTGTTAGGTACCGAGTCCTTTTATAAATTGTGTTATGCTCTTACTATTTTGAATGAATTAAATGTAGACAACATAAAAGTTGTAAGTAATTTTGACGTGGTTTGACATTGTATGACACATTTCAACACATGACAATCACAGGGAAGTCATTATCATCATCATCAACAGCCTTTACTAGTCCACTGCTGGACATAGGCCTCTCCTTAGAAAGGAGGTTTGCAGGGAAGTAGTACAGTAATATCAATATTCCATCAGTTTCGTATCTGGTTCCAGCAACTTAAGGACGCTTGCAATCCTAAAGGTATTGGATATTTTTTTCTATTTTAAATTCGAAATGTAATCGACAAGAATCTGATCGACATACGAACATTTGTTCTAAAATTGTGTTTACTTTTTTATATCTAGTACCTAGGTAAATTATGAAACATACATATTTTAAACTTTTAGTACCGTTCGCCATCATTTTAAGAACGTAGCCTAAATAGAGTACAATTTTGTCAATTTATGACAATAATATGATATATTAAAATGTGTTGATTAATTGTTTGATGTAAACTAGGGATTTTTCACATCGAGTTGAAGTCCGGAGTAAAAAATAACTATTACATAAATAATATGGACAACGGATTTTAATATGAACTATATTAAAATCCGTTGTCCATATTGTTTTTTAAAAAGTACAAAGTTGTTTTGTACTTTACCACATAATACTTAAACCGTTGTCCTATATATTATAAACATTGCACGTCGTCATAAACATCGATATGGTTACTTATTATAAAAACGTGAGAGCAATAGAAGTAGTAGACATTTATCGGCACAAATGGCTCGACCGGAGTGATGGTGAACCGAACACCTGTGATGATTTACAAAGCCACTGCTACTTAATTATCACGCTAGCGCAAGACCCGCGAAAGGTCTAAATCGAAAAAATAGGTCGTAAATTTTGATAAAGCGAGTTTTGGTTGATTTTAATGCCATTTATTTTTGTCTATGGCGAAATCACAATTACATGTGAAATCGCTGTGGCTAAAACAAATCATTTCATCAAATGAATATGATTTAGAAGTAGCAAAAATTACCATGTCTGGTGTTGAGCAATTTTTTCATTCCCCTAGTGAATAAGGAGGATGAGCGGGCTCTCTCTGATTCCCTGACTCAAAAGGTGGCAGCGCACAACACGAGTGCGCCGCCAGACTCTTGAGTTGCAGAAGTCCATGAGCGGTGGTAATTACTATATATAGACCAGTCTGCTCGTTTAAACTCAAACCATCTTTATATCATAAAAAAAAAAAATATTTGTAATAGTCTTTTATGTAGACTAAAGTCATAGATCAACACACACAATAGCAACAATCTCTGTTTTGTCAAAGTTTTGTCAAATAGTAAGCAAAATAAATTTAATAAAAATTAAACTAATAAAGGTTGCCCCCCTTATACCACAACAAAACACAACAAAAAAAAAGATCCAAGAAAACGGTCCGTTTTCAGGAGGAGGTTGGATCTTCAGCTCTGAAAACTTTCTACTCTAAAACACTGTGTACTTAGTGGACGAAATAATTTTCACTCGATGTGACCATTCCCTCAAATAAATTTTGTGATTGTCAATTATTTGTTACACATATTTATGTCAGTGTCTGTTTTAATTCACTTGTGAAGTTGATGTTTTAATTACAAAATATTTATCCCAATGTTGCATTGCTAATTGTATTTTTATCGTTACTTATGTACTTAAATAAAAAGATCTACGGGATTGCTTGATTTGATACTATCTTTGTGTTTATGACTATATTACTACTTACTTTATTATACTTACTACTTACTATATACTGCTTATTTTATCAAGTGGCCATTTGTTATTGTAGTGTGATTTGTAAATTATCTACTAGAACATAACATTTGCATCTTAATGAAATTGTACATTAGCTGGACAATAAAATCTTTATCTAAATTGAATTCTAAATTAAACTAGTATTTGTTAATTGTTGTTGAAAATTCATGCCAATCTCTTGTTGTAACATTGGTAAATTAGATATTTGTAATGTCGCTATTTTTATAGAAGCCGTAAAATAGTATGTCGCTGTCTTTTCTTTTCATTGTGGTGTAATTTTAAGTTGGTTGGTTAATTCTTTTGCCTTCAATTGTGAGATGTTAGTCCTGTTTTTTGGTAATGTGTTTCAAAGGCATCGTTAAGACAAATAACTAGCCATAACATAATATGTTAGATTTAAACTTTGTTTTTAAAACCCTCAAAGCAACTTGAGATATTGACTTTGATACCACTTTAACTACACTCACATTTTTAAAACAGTCTTTTTACCTGTAATTCAGGATATTATCTTTGTGTTCTTAATCAAAATAGACAGTTCCCTGAGCATAAGATGATAAAACAGTTAGTAGACCACGGTTAATGAGCAGGTTTCTGATCAGTTCAGACCTACGAAAGCTGAACATGTTATCAAAATATACGAATTTCCTGCTTGACACTTATCGCGTCTGCGTCATGTTAGTTTGCCGAACGAATATTTAAAAAAAGCCATGATGTTAGAAACACATTCTTTTATGAAAAAATATGTAGAGTATTTTTTCATTCTTTCATTCATTCATTCTTTCTTCTATGCTATCTCATATATTATGTACCGAATTAAAAAATTGAAGTGTGATTTTGGAGGGTACGAATAATGTTTATTTTCAACTTTATCAATAAGTTGTAACTATGTTTAAATTCAACGAATATGTTATTGTGAATGTTTAAATTTATTTATTTTTAATTTCAACTCTGTTCATCAGAGTAGTCAGAAGTAATCATCATAAATCAGTACTAATGTAAATTTTTATTATAAACTTAAGTAATTAAGTACGTTGCGACAAATACAAATTAAAAAAAACAAAATCTTTTGGTTGCATTAAAATTTATTTAGGGCAAAAAAAGGACTTAAAATGCTTTCTCTGCAAATTATTTTATTTCTTAACCTAACATCGCTACCGATGAAGGAACTATATTAAAAAAGTACTTAATTACCACATCTATCTTGAGTCGATGGCCGCCGGATAGGTACATATATACCTATACACGTCGATTAGGTTACAATTGTATTAAATTATTTTGGCTATATTTCTTTTACCACAAGATATCTTTTGTAACAACATGAGTGCCATTATTAAACATTCACAATGACTTAATAGAGCTATGTGATAATTTTATATTAATAATACAAAGTGCAATAAAATTAAGTTCGCTAGATTCTGCTAGTATTTTGTAACATATACATAATATTTTGTTTAGAATATATAAACCTGAACGTTGTAACGTAACAGCATATTATGTAGTACTATGTGCGAGATACACTATGTCTAATTTTATATTACACCCCGCCCGTGACAAGTATGTACTATTTATGTAAATAAAGAATATTTTATAATTTATTAAGTACACAAGAGTTCTATCACGAGTTTAGTGTATTATATTCCCCATCCTATTAGTACCTATGTGCCTAAAAAATCTTAAGTAAGTCGTTCATACATAAGTATGAATGGATTAAAGTTTACGCGCTTACATGCATACTGTTGCACCCCAGCCTTAGGTGTCTTAAGCACGTGATAATGGACCCTTGTCGAGCCTGAAATCAGTCGGCTGTCTTTTAATATACACACGAGTACAATTGTATTTATATAATTAAATATTCAATGTTATTAGTAAATATGGAAAGTTGAAATTGAGTATAGGGTGGGCAATATAATAATATGAATAACTGTATTTGTCTACAAAAATTGACCTAAATGTGCAGTAGACGTTTTTAAATTTCACGGTGAAGGGTGTGTCATTTATGCTAAGTCAAATAACACTTGCTAGATACATAATGTAATATTATATTTATATTATAGATCTAAAATAATACCTAGCATCGTCATAAGGAAATCACAAAACACCATAATTAATAATTAGAATTTGAAATTAATAAAATGCTTTAGAATTTGAATAGTTCGCAATATAACAGCATCTAATTAAGTCGCGACGTAGTAATACTGTAATTAAATTCCATTCTGCCTATGATGTTGCGTCCATATCTAGTGAATACTACTGTCATGACCTAAAAGTACACAGCTGTCCTTACCAAAATGATACTGCAATGTACGCTGAACCGCTGAAGTACACTTATGATAACTTACTTACACAAGGGCGGTACATACGCTACAAAGTTTGAAAGAAAGTACGTTTGTAAGTACACCGTTACATGACCTACTCCATAAAGAATTTTCGAAATAAAGTTATTTTTGAAGTAGAAGTCAATTATGATCTTTTTACAAGACTCAAAGCTCCA